ATAAGAGTGTCTCAGAGCTTCAGACGGGGACTGTTTGCGCTGCTTTGGTCAGTCATATTGCTCCCCTCGCCCCCCGTCTTTTCGGCGCTGGTGCGAGTTCTGGGGCGGGCGGGATCGGGCAGTGCGGAGGGCAGCTCAGCCGCCCCCGTGGTCCTGTGAGTTCATTTATCGGGATTCTCCCACCTGCGAGTCTTCCCGCCTATGCTCTCTGCCGTTGAACAGAATCGTCGTGGCTTGCCTCTGCTCCTGGTATGTAGATCAGAGATTCCACTTAACTCCTCGTGGTCACCGTGGGTGGGGGGGGGGGGGGGGGGGGTCAAGTGGGTGAAGGAACAAGTGTTGCAGGTGGCCTTCGTCAGAGAGCTGGCTAGAAATAGCCGCCGCGCGATCGGGCGCCCATGGGGGCTGCAAGGACAGGGATGACGTACTTGACAAAGTGGTTGTCAAAGCAGGGCGAGGAGTAGTCCTGGTGGTGGCAGGTGGTGGTGCCCCAGGTGATGCGACCATCGGCGTCGAGCGAGCGCAGACCGAACCAGTCGTCGCGGTAGAGCGCAGTGTCGTTGACCGGGACGAGACGCGATGCCGAGTCAGCGGCATAGAACCAGAACCAGCCGGTCTCCTTGGGGATAAGCACGGTATCGACGTGCGAGTAGAGGGCGACGAGGTGGGTGAGCGAGGCAAAGCGGGCTTTGCGGGCAGGATCCGGATGCGACGGGGCATCAGGGTTGTTGTTGAGCATCGGAAGCCAGGTGCAGCGCGTAGTGTACTCGGCAAGCTTGTAGGGGTCTTTCCAGTAGTTGGCCGGCGCGACGTGGGCCTGGATCTCGCTGTTGTAGGGGATGGTGTTGAGCACGTGGTCGACGAGTGGGTTGAACGGGCCGAGATTGGGTACGCCCCAGATGCCGCCCTGGACGGCGACCCAGGAGATGAAGGCGTTAACCGGCGGATCGTTGACGAGCTCGATGTAGCCGCGGCAGTTCTGTCCACCCTGCGAGACACAGAGAAGATTAAAGCCGCCCGCAAGCTGGGGAATGGCCTTGAACTGCTTGGCCATGCTCGCCACCTGACCGGACATGTTGACAAAGATCGAGTCTGGAATGGTGTCGTTCTCGATCTTGACCTTGTACACAAACACTCCCGGTAGCAGCCTCTTGGTCAGCGCCTCGGCGTGGTCCATCGACGCCGATGTCGCATCAATGCCGTGCATGAGGACGACCGGCACAGGTGCAGGTGCACTTTGGCCAGAGCCAGGAGAGGCAAGGGCAAGGCTCGCCGTGAGAAAGGCGAAAGCAAAGGCGGCGGCAACTGTGGTAGGGGAGGCCATCAGTGCGCGTGTGTGTGTGTAGGTATGTGTGTGTGTGTGTGTAGTATGTGTGTGTGTGGGAATACTGCTTGCGTGGGAGGGGGAGGGGGGGGGGAGGGGGGGAGGAGGGAGGAGGAAGTCGCATTGTCCGTGCAGGGGGCTGGCTTCAACTCGCGCTGGCGCCAAACGCCAACTCATTGCCCCCACCACCACCGCCACCCCTAACCACACACACACCACATACACACCACACACCACACACCACACACCACACTCTACACTCTTCACTCCACGCAACACTTCTCCTTCCACGCAACACTCCTCCCCTCATCCTTCAGCCCCCCCCACCACACCCCACCACCCCCCTCCACACCCACCGCGTGAGTGCTCCCGCCCCCCCCCCCCCCTCCCCGTCACTCACGCGTGCATGGCTTACCGAGACCGGGAAGAGTCGCCAGTCTCGGACGACGATCCGACGCTGGCATTCTCGCAGCTCTCTCAGTGCACGCAATCATCACAGCGCGGCCGCAGAGTTGAAGACTACATTCTGGAACACACCATCGGTGTCGGCGAGTTCTCAAAGTACGACCTTTTTTCGGACCACGACCTTTTTCAGACCACCAGCCTCCTCCCCCCCAGACTTTGGCCAGTGAGCGCAAGCTATCCCCACCCACACTCACACACCTCACAGAGTCAAGGCGGCCCGCAATGTGCACACCGGCGAGTATGTGGCGGTGAAGATCATTCCGATGGCGGCGATGAAGGCCAATCCTGTGCTGCAGCAAGAGTTCCTCATCCACACCAAGCTCGACCACCCCCACGTGGTGCACATGATCAAGTTTGTCAACTCGGACCCCGAGGTCCTGTATGTATTTCTGGAGCTTGCAGCCGGCGGTGAGCTCTTTGACCGCATCGAGCCAGACGTGGGCATGCACTCCGAGCTGGCCAAGGCGTACTTTGCGCAGCTTCTAGTCGGCGTCGAGTATCTGCACTCGATCGGCGTGGCGCACCGCGACATCAAGCCCGAGAACATCCTGCTCGACGCGGCAGGCAGCGTCCGCATCACCGACTTTGGCTTTGCCACCGACTTTCTCGACGACAACGGGAGCGAGCGGGTGCTGACGACCCGGTGCGGCTCGCCGCCGTACGTGGCACCCGAAGTGCTGACCGGCTCGTACCGTGGGCCGCCGGCTGACGTCTGGTCGGTTGGCGCTGTCCTCTTTGTCCTCCTCACCGGCCAACTCCCGTGGGACTCGCCGACGCATGCATGCTTCGAGTACACGGCCATCACCGAGGGCAACTTTGACTTTGCGCCGTGGTCCTCGCTCCCGCCGCCCGCACTCGCCCTCCTCCGCACCATCTTTGTGCTCGATCCGGAGAAGCGGCCGACCATCCAGCAGATCCAGCAGTGTGGCTGGCTGACCGGCGATGGCGACGACGGGCGCAAGCGCGGGCGTGCCCCGGTCTCGTCGTCGCCGACACGGCACCTGGCGGCGCTGACGGTTGCCTCGCCGTCGCCGTCGCCGTCAGCCAAGCGGCGGAGGCTACTCCCGCAGGTATCGCGGACCACATCGGCGTTTGCCATGTCGCAGCCCGAGCTCGAGCACGTGTCGGTGGCGGTCAAGGCCGCACCAACCTCGTCGGCCGCCTTCTGCGAAATGGCGCAGTCGCAGCCGATCCGCGCCGCCGATCTTTACGCCACCGCCGGGCCGTCGGCCGCCACGCAGCTCAACGAGTTCAAGGAGGTGGTCGAGCGGATGACCCGCATCTCGCTCGACGTTCCGGCTGTCGCCTTGTTCCGCCTCATCGCCGACGCGCTCGAGGCCGCCGGCGCCCGCGTCCGGCCCATCCCAGACCAGTTCCGCCTCCTCGTCACATACTCGACTCGGTTCGGCCAGCTCTCGCTCGTGGTACGGCTCTTCCGCGGCGGTACCAAGCGGGTGATGGCCGAGTTTATGCGCGCCCGTGGCGACATGTTTGAGTTCAAGAAGCTGTTCAAACGGGTCAAGGCCGACGTCGAGGCCGCCGCCCTCGCTCTTCCGCCGCCGCCCTCGCGCGCTCCGTCGCCGCCACCGATACTCGCTCTCTCGCAGTGTTGATTGAACCGTGTGGTCCCCGTTTGCTCGTCTGGCCAGGTAAAACAGCCCACCACGGTAGTGGTACGACGGCAGTGGTGGTGTGGGCTGTTTCACCAGAGGGTCGTGGCTGGAGCAAAAAGAGAATTAGGCTAGTGCTACAGGTCCCCGCCGCAAGACCCTGGCAAATGACTCAAGTCCCTGACGATCATTTGCACGGTAGTGTACGCCACCTCGCTCAGCTAGGCCGTCCCTGCACCTTTCCCCAGCATGCGGTGACAGTGTTCGATGTCTCGCCTCCTGCGGTTTCCGCATTTTTAACTCCGAGAGGGCGTCCCCCATCGGGGATGTCCTAGCGGAGACTGTAGGGCGTACAAGGACCCAGCGTCTACACGAAAATAGCGCTCTTCCCGCGCAGACCGTCACGTTCAAGTGACTGTCCACACCAAGAAAAGCGTGGCACGCCGCAAGTTCAAGTACGAGAGCGAAATTTTGCTCTCCGCCCCCAAATGGGTTTCGCACTCCCGCCTAGCCACCGCACTTTGGGGGCATGTTCTCACTCGCCGCCGACCCTGCTCCGCTGCCGTGCCCGCTCGCGCAGCCGATAGTACGAGTTCTCTTCAGGTCCACCCGCATCGTTAACTTTCTGCACAGGCGGTGCTCCATGAGAGCGGTCAGGCGTGAGCATCGGGTCGTTCCACGGACTTGTGGCCCGGTCCTCCAGCCGCCGCTGCGGCACCAGCCGTAACTGTGGTGCGGCTGGCTCATGCGCGACGGTGGCTGGCTCGGGGACGCTAGCGTCAGCCTCGCCATCTCTCTCGCCATCATCGCCCTCCCATTCGCTCCCCACCACCACCGCTGCGCCATGCTCGAGCGCGCGCTGGGTCCGCCGCACCGCCCGCGGCGGCTCACGAACATCTGCGGCCCGCATGGCCTCCAACTCGTCGGACGAGATGTACTGCCAGGGAAAGTCGGTCCGCGACGGGGCAGCCTCCTGCATCAGCACCTTGAGCTCGGCCAGCAACGCCGAGTCCGTGTTGCTCGCCAGTCGCTCCTCGCACGAGCTCACTCCCGCACGATAGCCGAGCCAGAGCCCGAACCCACCTCCGATCATGTAGGTGAAGACGTTGATTCGGGTCGGAAACCGGCGCGACAGCACCAGCAGCGGCGCCGATCCGCCCAGCAGTCCCAGCGCAGTCGACCTGGACACACTCGACGCGCAGTGATTGAGCACATCTTGCTCCGTCTCTGTGAACTGCTCGCCCCTCGGTCGCCCCCTCCCTCCCTGATGTGAGCCATTGTCGTCGTCAGCCCGAGCCGACCTCCCCCCCCCCCCCCCACTACAAACACCGAACACTGTACATACCGGAAGGTACCGCTCCAGTCGCACCCGCGCATCCGCACTCGACAGCGCTCCGCCCATGGAATGCGTCGCAAGAGTCGTGTGGTTCGAGTGAGGGGTTGAGTTGACTTAGCAGCAGGGGGGCGCCTTGGGTGCTCGGGCGTCGGCTCTGGCTCTGGGCGACCTGGGGACGCATTCCTCGCCACTGGCCGCCAACCACACTCCATGGACACCGCTCGAATGCCGTCGACCTACTCTGTCCCAGATTTTCTTCATCGCGCGTCGCTAGCTACTGGAGTGCTGCAGGGAGCATCGGCGAGGCCGGCGAGATCGGCTCGGCAGCGGCGGCGGCGTTGACGGCGACCTCGGTGGCGAGGGCAAAGAGCTCGTCCACCGAGCGCCAGTCGTCCAGATCGACGGTGGCAAAGTGGAGCGCGCCAGCGGTTCGCGCCTCCTTGCGCGCCTGTCGCAGGTTGATCGCCTTGCGTCCGCGCCGGGCGCCATAGGTGGCGGCGACCACAAACGGTGCGCTCGCCTGGGCCGGACCGAGCTGTGGGCTCCACATGTCCAGCGCCGCCTGCAGCGAGGCCTCATCGTTGCCGTCGCACACGAGAACAAACACGTCGGTGTTGATGGCGGCCATGGTCCGCTGCTTTGACGCAGCTTCGCCCCGCCCCCCGGGCGTCTCCCACAGATGGGCGTAGACCGGCTCGCCGTCGACAACGCACGAGACCTTGGTCGGTGGGCTCACGCCCGCGGCCACCCCGGTCCCGGCTTTGCGCATCGCGCGGCTCCACGTCGATGCAGCAGTCCGCGCCGCCACCAAGGTCGACTTGCCAGACTTGGGCGGGCCGACGAGCGTGACTTTGAACGAGCGCACGCCGAACTCGCCCCAGTACAGGCCGTCGTCACTTGCCGCGCCACCGTCGCAGTCAGCAGCGACAGTGCTCGCAGCAGCAGATGCCCGATTCCGCCGCGCCACACGGTACTCGTGCAGCGTGGAGGCTGTCGGGAAGAGACCAAAGATGTCAAAGTTGCGGCATGTAACCTCGAGCATGGTGCCCTTGCCGATGACCAACCGAGCCGCGACAAGGCCCTGCAGCCGCTCGTGCATGGCGACCATAGCGTCGGCAATGCTTGGTCCGTCGTCGTCATCGTCGGACGAGACCGAGTCCGAGGTTGAGCTCATAGCGGCGTCGATGACACCTGCAGCTGCGTGCAGCTTGTCAAAGAACGGCATTAACATGTCAGCGAGTGTAGCCCAAAGATTCTTGGCCTTGAGCAGCTTGCGCAGCTGGTGTCGGATGCTACTGGCCCGGCCCGCACCCGGCCTGTTGCTCTCGCCCTCGCCCTCATCCACGCTCTCGTCATCACTCTCGTTGTCCGAGTCATCGCCGTCGCCAAGCGGGAGGCAGTCGGCAAGGTCGGCTGGTGCCGCCAGCGAGATGTCGGCGGTTACGCTAGCGTGGCGCAGTGCCTCGATGACCGGCCCGATCCAGGTGGCACCGACGCCATTGCGGCGAACCCGGCCCAGGACATGCAGCGCCATGTCTGACGCAACTGCGTCAAGCGTGACGGCAACCGCGGGTTCGGCCTTGGGCCCGCCGGGCCGCTGCGAGCACTCGACCTCGCCGTGCAGCTCACGGATCTGCAACTGCTTCAGCACCATCTGGACCATCATCGACTGCTTCGTTGCCGGAAGCCCGATGCTCACCACCAGAACCAGGCCGGACGAGACCTCGGTCGAGTCGCGGACCGTGACTTGCGGATCGTCGACATCCTCGACAGGCAGCAGCGCGAGAGCCAGCAGCTCACAGAGCTCGTCGGCGATGGTGTCGGCGTCAGCTCGCCCCAGCCCGGCCCGAACCGAGACCACAACCTCAAAGCGAGCCGGTTCGCTGCGATCCGGCCCGCAGTGCGGCGCGACCTCGCTCTCGTCGCAGACAAGGCGAACACTGGCCATGCTCCGTTGGGAGGCCGGTGGCGCGCGGGCCATCGGCCCGGCGCGCAGCCGCAGATGGCTCCCCAGCATGTCGTCGTTGACATCCGCGGCGGCTCTGCGCTCAGCGGCCCGCTCGAGCTCGAGCTCGGACGCCGCCGAGCGGACTGACCGCAGCACAAACGACGATTGCTTGGAGAAGACCTGCGACGAGAGCTTGAGCTTGAGCGCAGTGAGGTTTCCGTCCGTGGTGTGGCGCTGGTGGCCAAGAGCGAGGCCGGACTCGTCGGGGCCAGCCGCGCCAAAGCCGGGCATGCCGGCCAGCCACCACTTGGCAAACTCGGCCTCGGAGATCTGCGCGTCGTTGTCGAGGTCGATGGCGGCCAGCGCGGCGTCGAGCTCGCTCTCGGTCAGTAGAACGCCCATCATGTACGCGAGCTGGCGAAACTCGGAGCGGTCGATAAACGATGAGCCGTCCGAGTCGCACTTGACAAACGCAGCATGGATACGCCGCCGGGTCTCGGCGTCGGCGATGGAGAAAGGGTCGTACGCGGCGGCAATGCCCGCGGCCGGTCCGCCGACCGCCAGCCCACTGCCGACCATCGACGAAGTGCTCTCAGTCAACGTCCACACATCAGTGAGCGCCACGCCAGCAGCCGCGAGGACGAGCCGGACAGGCGACCGCTTGAGCACCTCGCCGCGGAGCAGCCGGAGCATCGCCTCGTTGTCCTTGGTCTCTGCCTTGAACTCGAGAGCAAGCTCGGTCCGGACCCGCGCCAGCTCGAGCATGCCCGATGCGCCGTCGCGGACAAGCGGTGCCGAGACGGTCACTGTCGCGGTCCCCACCGGGAGCGAGAGCATGCGGCCACACTCGTCGAGCTGGGCAGCATCAGACGCGACAAGGGCGATGATGACGCCATGGAGCGGGTGGACGGCGTCGTCGCCGTCGGCGAGCGCCACATCAACCGCGCCGGCATGGAACCGCACCTTGACGTTGGTGTATGTGATGCTGGCCTCGGTCCGCGGACCCTCGGCCTTGCCGTGCACGATCACCGGAACGCAGTGCGGCGCCAGCGACTGTGCCGAGGTGGCAAACCGGGCTCGCGCGCCCGGCGAGAGCACCTCGTACTTGGAGGTCACCGCGAGGCCTGCGGCCTTGAGCAGGGCGCGAACGGGTGAGACCGTGTCGAGCTGGTGCGAGAGCGCCTCAATCGTCTTGCCGTCGAGCGCCGATGAGACGACCGCGTCGTAAAAGATTTTGTCAAAGACGGTCTCGACAGGGAGTCGGTCCATCCGGCCCTCATATGCGCGCGAATCGAGGTGCAGGCCACCAGAGTAGTAGGTGACAACGTCAAAGACGCCACAGTCTTGTGCCGCCAGCAGCGCCAGTGCCGCCTGGTCCGAAGCCAGCAACGCCATGACCAGCAGATGCAGGCCCGACGAACCCGAGCCGTCGCTCCCATCACCCAGCCGCAGCTCAACACCGGCTCGCGGACGGGCAACCAGCTCACTGCAGCGCGCTGCACCCATCGCAGGCGTTGCCTGCAGCGAAAGAGTCAGTGACGGCTCTGGCGACGCAGCAGTCGATCCTGTACGGACCCGCGACGGAGAGCGAGATGCCAGCGACGCATATCTTGCTCTCGGGCTGAGACTGTGTGGTGGAGTGCCTGGCGGCAGCGACAGAGAGGCCAGCCGACGTGGCGGCGATGGCGATGACGACGGCGACAGCGCAGGTGTCGACAGCGATGCTGCGATGGGTGGCAGTGGCGCGAGTCCAGCAAGCGGCGAGGCCAGAGGTTGGCGCGGCCGGCGGGGTGGCGAGGCGGAGGCAGCGCGAGACAGCATGGACGGATCGTGGTCGAGCGCGGCCAGCAGGCGAGTGAAGGACGCCTGCGCAGCGGCATGGTCAGCCTGGGTGGCAGCAAGAGCAGCCGAGAGCGGAGCAGCAGACGAGGCAAAGAGGTGAGCCAGTGCAGCAGCCTTGGACGAGACAGACCGGTAGATTGGCGAGGTGAGGATGTCCACAATGGCAGACTCGGGCACCGACATTGCCCGTGGGTGGCGGGTCGAGTGCGGGAGCGGGAGCGAGAGAGCGGTGGCAGCGGCAGTTTCTTCCGGCAGAAGTGACGGGACGACGCGTGGGGAGGGAGGGAGGGCGGGCAGTGTGGAAACGGGGGCTGATGGTGGATGTATGGGGGTGGCGATGGAGATGGCTATTGAGTTTAGGAGAAGGGTTGGGGGTTGGGATGGTGAGGCGAGGTATGGGGGAGATTGGGAGGAAGTTGGTTACGGCCACAGTAGCCGCAGTTGGCAAAGGGTGAGCCGGGTGGGAGTGTGCGGGGTTAGGGCCAGCAGCTGGTGCAGACAGCCGATTAGTCTGGATAAGATCGCGAGTTGAAGCGTGCGACGGTGGAGAGGTCATTGACAGCGAGCATGGAAAAGAGAGCCGACATGAGGGTGGAGATGGTGAGGAGGAGCATCATGGCTGAGAGGTGCCATCTCCCCGAGGCAGTGAAGAGCATGGCGACGACAGCTGTGGCGAGCCAGGCGGCGGCGCAGACAGCCGAGACCTCGCCACGGGTAACCACGTCGTATCGGACATGACGAGCAAGTGCAGCAGAGAGTGCAGCCGCAGCAAGGCCACCTGCTCCGCCCAACAGCATGACCACGTCCGACGCCACGCCCGTCCGCAGCGCCTGAGCCTTGCCTGTTGCAGCAGGCACGGCTGCATCGAGGACCACCAGCGGAGCGACCAGAGCCACAGCGGCAAAGAGACCGAGAACGCCAGCCTGTGCAAACAGCACACGTGTGTGTGTGAGTATACCCATGGTGACGTGGGAGACGAGTGGGAGGAGAATCTGTGCGGGGGGGAGGGGGGGGGGGGGGGGAGGGGGAGGGAGATACACACACACACACACACATACACATACACATACATACATACACACATACATACATACATACATACACACATACACACACATACACACACAGATCACACACATACACACACATACACACACAGATCACACCACATCGCACCGCATCGCACCACATCGCACCGCATCGCCAACTCGCCCCGTCCCGCCCTCGCCGCCATCTGCTTCTCGCCCTCGCCTTCTCCCAGCTCACCACCCAACCCCATCCACCACCAGCTCAGGTCAGGTGAGCATGCAGTGGCGGTATGTGTTGTGGGGTGGTGCGCTGGCGGGAACGGTGGCGGCGTACTGGCTCGTCCGCCCTCTCAAGGTCGCCGTCCTCATGGGCGTCGACGGCGGGGTGACCCGCGAGCCGCAGGCCAAGCTCTGCACTATGGCCTTCCTCTTCCCGGTACTACATCTGTACAACACCGGCGTTTCGTCGCTATCCCTCTCCCGCCTTGTCGCCGTCGTCGCAGCTGCGCAGATCGCCATCTTCTCCGCTCTCGCTCTCGTCCTCGTCCCGGCCGCAGCCACCGGCTCGCTCGCCGCTGCCTACGCTGCCTACGCCCTCATTGAATCGGTCGGCTCGCTGACAGTCACCATGATGTGGTCGTGCATTTCATGTGGCATACACGCCGAAAAGGCGCTAGTCGTCTACCCGCGCCTGACCGTCACCCAGCAACTCGGTGCGCTCGCCGCATCGTACGCCGCCTCCTGCCTTGCAGACGCCTACCAAAGCCCAAGCGTGCTGGTAGCCGCTGGCGGCGCGGCAGCGATTGCCGGCACTGCGTCGGCGCTCGCCGCTCTCGCCGCATCGCCGGCATCGCTCGCCGCAGAGAACCTCGACGAGCTCCGCGCCTCCGACACCGCATCCGAGACGTCCGAGGAGGACGGGAGGGCGCACGCCCGCGCTGCCGCTGCTGCTGCTGCTGGTGCAGGCAAAAGGAACCCAGGCGCGCTCGAGCTGCTTGCCACTTACGGCTCGTTCATTGCACACATGACCATCATCTCGTGTGCCTCGGACGTCCTCGTCCTTTTATCGACATCCGCATGAAGATGGCGGCGAGCGCGGCATACGAGACGCCCGCGGCAATGGCCGCATTTGTGGCTAGCGTAGGGACCGTCATCAATGTGGCCACGCTGGCCGTCTCGCTCGCCGGGCCCGGCCCGATTGTCCGCGCGGTCGGCCTCCGCACGGCGCTCCTCGCCTTTCCGCTGGTGGCCATGGCGGTGGTGTGGGCAGTTGCCCTGGCGAGCTCACCGGTCCTCGCCCTCGCTTTCGCCGTCGTCGTCCTCAAGACCTGCAAGTATGCACTCAACACGCCCGCCAAAGAGCTCATCTACGTCCAGGCTCGGCCCGAGGTCAAACTCGCGGTCAAGCCGTGGATTGACGCCGTTGGCGGCCGGTCAGCCAAGGGCTTTGGCTCGCTGGCCAACACTGCGCTACTCGCCATCGCCCCGAGCGGTGTGCAGCTCCACTGGCTCTCGTCGGCTGCCTGTTCGGCCGTTGCAGTGGTCTGGGCATGGTCGGCCGCGCATGTTCATTCATGGTCGGCCGGAGCGTAGCGCCTTCCGGACCCCGGCCGACGAGGTCTTGTCCGCAGTCTTGGACGTCGTCTTGCGCACGCCGCGGGCTCTCGCCCCCTTCCCTGTGGCATCATCCTCGCCCTCGTGGATTCGGCATGGTCGCGGCCTCCCACAATGGCGGCACCGCGTCGAGGCGTGTCGCCGGGGACGCGCGCGGAGGCTGTGCCCGCCGATCTCAGCCACATCGAGCCGCCACCTTTGGTGGCTCAGCTCGCTTCCCATCGGCCACGCGTAGTCGGGCGGAAGTGCGTAGAGCGCGCGAAGCGCTGCCTCTGCGCCGCGGCGCGCTACAGGGCCGATGCCGGCAGCCTCGAGTGCGGTTCCGAAGTTGGCGACCCGCTCGCGCGTCGACATGGCATCCGCCACCGCCGACGCCAGCGCCCGCCGCACCGCATGCCGGCCGCTAGCCTCGGGTAAGACCTCGTCAAAGACCGCAGCATCGTCGCCAACCAGCCACTGACCGATCAGCCTCGCAGTGCTGCCCGCGGCCTCGATGACCGCCAGGTGCTCGCTCACCTCGTCCAGCAGCTCAACCGTCTCCACCGCCAGCACACCCCCACCACCTTCACATCCTTCTTCTCCCCACTGGCAGCCATGCGACCACCTTGCTCGACGCCCTCCTTCCCTCTCCTTCCCTCGCCAGCCAGTGACCGCTGCCAGTGGAGTGCCCGTCCGTCCGTCCGTCCGTCCGCTCATCCCTCGACTCGTCTCGAGTCGGAAAGGGGGGAGGAGACGGAGGGAGAGGGAGGGAAGGCGACTCGGCGAATGTCTCATCGCCACTCGAGTGACGACAGCGGATGTGGCCGACGTGACTCGACTCGGCTCAACTCGGCTCGGCCGGCAGCGACAGCGACAGCGACAGCGACAGCGACAGCGACAGCGACAGCGGCAGCAGTAGCCGGGCTTTAGGCTTGGTCTCGAGTGGGTGTGGGACCACCTGACTCTTGGCTGGTGAGCAGGGAAGGGCGGGTGAGTTGCGGTCTGTGCCGGTCACTCGGCTCTCGCTCTCACTCTCCACTCGCGCCATGGACGCCGCATCGGTGCCATCCGCCGCAGGCCTGGTCTTTGTTCTGAGATTGGCGCTCGGTGTGCTCGGCCTCCAGCTCGCGTTGGCTATTCTCTCCTCGTTTGCCGACGACAACGCGTTTGAGCGGCTGTGTGCCCCTGTTGACGCCGCCGCTTGCGCGGACACCCGGGTTCTGGTCTCGCCCGCATACTGGGCTGCGCGCGCCGACGATTGGCTCTTCCTACCGCGCATCGTCCTCATTGCTCTCCTCTCGTTCGCGGCGCTTCTTGCGCAGCTGCTAGTTTCTCGCGCCGCCGCCCTCCACCGTGCTGCCGTGGCCAATACCCGCCGTGCCGCCACCCTCATCCTGCGCTTTGCAGACGCGCCGCGCGCCGTAACCAGCCACGTCTGGTACCGGTTTGCGCTCGAGCTGCAGGCTGTCGGCGATCTGCCCGAGGCATCTTGCGCCTGCTGCCGAGTCTTTGCCGCCCGCGGCAAGACCCAGTGGCTGCAGCACACAATCCGTGCCGCCGCTGCGCTCGGACTGCTGGCCGGATGGGCCCTCATTGCCACGGCATCATCAGCTGCGCCTCGGCCAGCACGTGCAGCGTCTCGCCACCTGTATGTCTCGGAAGCTGCTGCTACACTTGCCGCCAGAGCCTGCCGTGGCTGCAGCTCGCGTGGCTGGCCGTCATCAGCGTCCTCCTCGCCGTCCTCCTCACTGCCATTGCTACCTTTCGCGCCTCATTTGGCGACAACATCTCAACCAGCGAGTGGGCATACGCCGCCACTAATGCGCCTGACATGGTTGACCGCCTCGCCGACGTCGCTCTAGCAATCCACCGCCACGTTGAGCCCCAGCTCGCGCCGCACCAGGTCTACGAGCTCATGGAGATCGGCCGCGTCGCTCTCGCTCACTCGCACTACCGCCGTCGGACCGGTGGCTATCACGCCCAGCTTGACCGCGCTCATGCGGTCCTGAACGGGTGTACGCTTTCCTCGCTCTCGTCACCGTCATCGTCGTCCTACACTTACCTCTCCTCTGCGTCTTACCGGAGCTGACCCTTTAGATCGAAAATGAAAAACCGAAGATCACATTACTCGTGCGGCGGCTCGGCAGTTCTGGTTGTCGTCAAACCAAAGACCAGCAGTGAAGCCCCACTGCAGCAACCACCAGGCCCCACTGCAGTCATATGTCGCCGCAACTGAGCTCTCCCACCCTAGCGAGCGTGGCGCTCGTGTACAGCCTCCCGCCCGTGCTGCGATGTGATTCATTTTTGAAGTGCACTCCGGCGCGCAACAACGCGCCCCAACAACCGTACCGATGGGCAGCGCTCAGGACCGCTTGGTCTTCCGCTGGTTGCGGACAGAGAAGAGGAGGCCGAGGTAGGCAACAACGACGGTAAAGACGTAATAGCCGACGAGGATAAAGACCCGCGACCAGATGCCGGTCGGCTCCTGGTTGGCATTGCGCTGGGCGATGAGCTCGTTGCCAGTGTTGATGGGGCAGAGGCCGTTGGGCAGCTGCAGCTCGGGCGTGCAATGGAAGACGAGCGCGTCCTCGGCCTCGTTGAGGAGGAGGGCGGTAAAGGCGTAGCGGAGGATCGAGACGTGCTTGAGCCAGCGGAGGAAGACCGGGATGGCCTCAGTCGAGATGAGCACACCGGCCGTCATCATCGACGGAACGATGATGACCGGCGCGAGCGCGGTCGACGTCGCCGCGTCGCCGGTAAAGGCCGAAAGGACGAGGCCGAGGTTCGAGCCGACGAGTGCCACGAGCGACTGGACAAGAACAAAGATGAGGAACCGACCGAGCGACTGCTGCAGGCCGGTGGTAAAGTAGACGATGACCGAGAAGAGGAACTGGTACAGGACCTGGAACGGAAGATCCGACGCCACCTTGCTCACCAGGTAGGCAGGCATCGAGTAGATGCCGTCAGCCACCTCGCGGAGGAAGACCGCACGCTCGGCGATGAGCACAAAGACCGAGCCCTGCAGCGAGAGGAAGATTGCGTTGGTCGTGGTGAGGAAGAGCAGCCCGACGCGATCAGTCGCGCCGGCCTGTGAGTTGTCGAGCGAGTAGATGATGCCGATGAGGATGCCAAAGACAATGGCCTGGCCCACAGACGCCTTGAGCGCCTTGTCGTTGTACAGCGTCACCTTGAGCGCACGCTTCGTCAGCTGATACATCCGCCCGTACCACGGAAGCGTCATCGGCGCACCGTCGTCGTTGATCTCGGCAACAACTTCGCTGGGCCCGGCATACGACGACGACGACGAGGCGTCGGCGTGGTATGCATCGATAAGCTTCTGAACCCGCTTCTCGTCGCCGTCACGCGAGTCGAGCACCTGGATCACGTGGTCCGCTGGGTTCTTGAACTCGTCGCACTCGTAGCCGAGCTTGTCGAGGTGGGGCACAATGTTGTCGACCGAGCCCGAGTACGCAATCTGTCCCAGCGCCATGATGAGCGCCTGGTCAAAGAGGTTGTACACAAAGACCGACGGCTGATGAATGGTGCAGAAGACGACGAGCTTCCGCGAGTTGGCCACCCGCTGCAGCGAGAGCATGACCGACTTGGCCATCGCGGCGTCCAGGCCGGTCGTCGGCTCGTCCACAAACAGGATCCGCGGCTTGACCAGCAGCGCTGCCGCGATGTTGAGCTTCTTGCGCTGGACAAAGTTGAGGCCACGCGCTGAGACGCCCGGCTCGCCGAGCCGCACGTTGCGCACCTCCTCCAGGCCGAGCAGCTCGATGACGTCGTCAACCCGTGCCTGCTTTTCCTCGGCAGACATCGAGTACGGAAGGAGCATGTTGGCGCGGAAGCCCAGAATGTCGTCCGGTGTCATCGAGTTGAGGAACGTCGCGTCCTGCGTCACGTACGCCGAGATCTCCTGGAACTCGGCGAGGCCAAAGTGCTTTCCATTGACCAAGATCGAGCCCGAGGACTCGACCGTGTGCGCCCGCCCGGCAAGGACGTTGAACAGCGTGGTCTTGCCCGCCCCACTCGCCCCCATCAGCATCGTCATCTGGCCCGACTCGACCTTGCCTGACACGCCGCGGAGAATGTCGCGCCGCTTGATGACCTCGGTCGAGCCATCGGCCTTGGTCGCCTTGAAGTTCTCCACCCACACCTTGATGTTGTTAAACTCGAGCACGATCTCCTCGTCGCTCTCATCGCTCGGCCCAGCTGTCACAAACGTGTACGAGTCGGAAGGTGTCAAGTTGGATGCCGACGAAGATGTCGGCATCGATGACGATTCCGGTACCGAGTTGGACATGATGTATAAAAAGAAGAGTCTTGGCTTGTGGGTACTCGGTCACACACAAGCGATTGCGGTATGCCCCGCACGGCGCGGGACTTGCAGCTCCACATAGTTGAGGTTTTGACGGTTTCAAGTTGTGCACATTGAGTTGATTGGAGTGAGCTTGCGGCACTACTCGGCGAAATATGTCGGCGGCCCCCACAGGTGCTACGCATGACCCTACATGCATTATCTTCTCCCGCCTAGATAGCACATACTGCTTTGTACGTACTTACCAGCGTATGCGGTCTTGCAGAGAGTCTATGGTGAGAGAGACGGCTAAGAGTGAGGAGCGGCCAAGTCGGCGAATAGCGGACCGCCGCACCGGCGATTTTCGGCCAGATTGCCACGACGCGTACGCCGCGCGCGATAAAACACAGCGCACTCGCTCGTGCTTGCCTTGTACGTAGTTGCAACATCCTCTCTCGTGCGATCGCGCTGTAGACAGGCAAATCTATGCCCATTCGTATCACCCCGTCCGCTGCCGGCGTAGTCATGGAGCAGCAAGAGTCGTCGACGTCGTCGTCAAGCTACACCAGCAGAGCCATTGCGCTCGACACCGCAACCTCTGTCTCGTCAACAGATTCATCGGCCTCGTCGTCGTCATCAAGCTCACCCTCATCGACCGACTCCGCCGGCTACGGCTACGACGCCGAGTCGGGCGGTGCCGCCGGTGTCATCATCGAGGCCTCCAACATCACCGTCAAGGTCCCGGCCAAAAAGTCGCTGCTTGACAAGTGCCGCGGCCGGCCTGGCACGGATGAGATCGTCCTCCTCGACAATGTCTCGCTGAAGCTTGTTCCGGGCGAGCTCACCATGCTCCTCGGCCCGTCGTCGTCGGGCAAGTCGCTCCTCCTCGACGTCCTCGCCGGTCGTCTTCCGTCGGCGCTCGAGTCGTCCGGCTCGGTGCTGTACAACGGCATGGAGCTTGATCCGTCGGACGTCATGGCCATCTCGGGCTATGTCCAGCAGGAAGACATCATGCTCTCCGACTCGACGCCACGCGAGAACCTGCACTTCCTCGCCCGTCTCTCGCTCCCGTCGACCATGTCGGCCGAGGATCGGGGCGCACGCGTCGAGTCAGTTCTCAACTCCCTTGGCATCGCCAAGGTCGGCGACACCCTCGTCGGCGTCCCGGGCCTCAAGCGCGGCCTCTCCGGTGGCGAGCGGAAGCGGGCCAACATTGCCCAGTCGCTCATCACCGCTCCGCAGATCCTGTACGTCGACGATCCCACCGCAGGCCTCGACGCCGCCACTGCCGAGACCGTCATCGTCAACCTCCGCAAGCTCGCCAAGAAGAACAACATGACCATCCTGGCCTCGATTTCGCAGGCCTCCAACGAGATGCTGCACATCTTCGACAACGTCATGGCACTTGCCGGCGGCCAGGTCGCGTACTCGGGCAAGGTCACCGGCCTCCTCCCCTTCCTGGGGACGTCGGCTACGAATGCCCGCGCGGACTCAACCCGGCTGACTTTATCATCGAGCTCCTCTCACGCACGGCGCTGGTGCCGGGCGACGACGAGACGGCTCACAGCGGCTCGTCGTCGGCGTCTACCTCGGCCTCCTCGTCGCTCGCGCGCATCCAGGCCATCACTGCCGCGGCGCGCGCAGCCGGCATGGGCCTCCCGGACTCGTCGTCGGCCTCGCTCTCGCAGGCTGGATCGCTCCAACTCGACGAGTTTAAGGGCCACCGCCCGTCGCCGATCGTCAAGCTCGCGCAGCTCGTCAAGCGCAACATCATGCTCCAGGTCCGCAACAAGCAGGCCTCTTGGGCCCGCGCCGGACAGATGATCATTCTCGGCTTCCTCATTGCTGCCATCTGGTACCAGATCGACCGCGGACAGACTGGTGGTCTCGACCGCGCCGGCCTCATCTTCCTCGTCACCATCATGCTTGTCTTCTCTGGTATGCATGCGGCAGTGACGCTGTTCATCCCAGAGCGGGCGGTGTTCATGCGCGAGTCACAGGACGGCCTCTACAGCACCGTCACGTACCTCGCCGCCAAGGTCATCGCCGATCTGCCGTTCCAGGCCGCCTACATCGCCCTGTACGTCTTCCAGGTCTACTTTATGGTCGGCTTGCAGGCCGAGCTCGACAAGTTCCTTATCTTTACCGGCTTTGCATACCAGCTCTCGCTCTTTGGCACTTGGCTCGGTCTCCTCCTCTCTGCGGCGACCGGCGATTCGGATGCCGCCAACGCGCTTGCTCCGGGCATTGTCCTCCCGTCGACCCTCTTTGCCTCGTTCCTCGTCAAGCCCGAGTCGATCTGGGTCGGCATCCGCTGGCTGCGCTACTTTTCGTTCATGAAGTACGCCTTTAACGGCGTGCTCATCAACGAGCTCAAGGGCCTCACCTTTACCTGCGACGCCTCCGAGGCCATCAACGGTACCTGCCCTGTTCCCAACGGGCAGGCCGTCCTTGACCTGTTCGAGGCCGAGGAGGACGGAAACATCGGTTTCAACTCGGGCATCCTCGGCGTCTTCATGGCTCTCTTCCTCATCCTTTCCTACCTCGCCCTCAACGCCTCGCGCAAGCGGTAAAGCAACAACCTAAACACAGCGGGAGCGCAGCTACTACTCGCGCTTGCGATACACGACCGGGGCGTCGTTGCCGACCATCAGCGGGCGGGCAACCGTGTTCCAGTTCTCGTCCCACCGCAGCGACTGAAAGGCAGCGGCGCCGTCGGCGAGGTTCTCCAGCGCCTTGGTCGAGCGCGGGAAGCCGGCAAAGAGGCCCGAGAGCGCGGCAGCGAGGTCCGGTGCCGAGTCAAAGACGACGCCGTTGTAGCCGTCGACGACGAGCTCGTGGAGGCAGGGAAAGTTGACGGCGGCGACGGGGAGGCCGGCGCCAAAGGCGTCGATGATCTTGATGGGCAGGTCGAGGCCGGACGAGCTGGTGTGGAGAGATATGCCGAGATCTGCGGCGCCGAGGATGCGCGGGTAGTCGGCGATGGGGAGAAATGCGGTGAAGATGGAGACGTGGGCGAGGCCGAGGTCGGCGATGGCGGCTTCGTAGTGGGCCTTGAGCGGGCCACGGCCGGTGATGACCAGGACAACATCCGGGAGAGCACGGGCCGAGTCTGGGTTCTGGGCCTCCACCAGCGCATTGTAGGCGACCATGGCCTCGAGGAGGATGGAAAAGTCCTCGTCGGGTGTCCACGAGGTGGACGAGACGAGAAAGGCCGGGCGGTTGGGAGCGAGGAGGGCGGCGGCGGCCGGGTCAAAGCCATCGATGAGCTCTGGGAGGCGGGCGATAAAGGCGAGGCGCTCGTCAGGAGAGAGGCGGACAAACTGGTTAGGCGGGCGGTCGTACAGGACAACAGGCGCGATGCCCCAGTTTGCCTCGAGCCATGCGGCCATGGCGCGGGTGACGGCGAGATGCGCCGAGGCGCGCGAGCCAAAGAAGCGCTCGTAGGCCGCAGCGAGCGAGGCGACCCATCGCAGCGGGCGCGGCAGCGAGTAGGCGAGGATAGTGTAGCCAAAGTTGTGCCAGTCGACGACGAGGCGGCAGGAGCGGGCGATGAGGGCAGTGTAGAGCCAGCAGACGGCGAGAACAGGAACCGAGGGCGGGTTCTGGACAAGGAGGATGTCCGGGGGCGAGGCGAGGCGGAAGGCAAGGGCGTAGAAGAGGACCCACGCCATGTATACCACCTTGAACGGGGCGTAGAGCGGGAAGAGCCACCGTGGGAGTCGCGGGAAGACGCCCAGCGCCACCGTGTCGGTCACCGCCGCTACAGCGGCAGGCAGCGGGCTCTCGGCGTAGCCGACCAGCGAGACTCTCGGCGACGACGGCAGCTGCGCTAGCGAGCACGCGTGATACTGCATCCGTGGCGAGTGGCCCACATCGCCCATGACCACCACGGCCGCATGGCGGATCGTCCTCTCCCTGCCTCTTGTCGATGACATGGTGGTTGTGTGGGAGAGAGGGGTGTGTGTGTGGGTGTGTGGGTGTGGGGATGGGTGTGGGTGGTGTGGGTGGGGATGGCGATGGTGGTGGGGATGGGTGATGGTCATGGCGATGGCTATTGTATGGAGATGGTAGGTAGCCATGATCGTGACGATGGCCGAGATCGCAGCCATCACATCCATCAACACTGGTGCGGAGGGGTGCTGATCACTCGAACTACCATAACTACCATGTCCATAGCTAGCTACAGCACCACCAGCGGTGGCCTCTACATCATCAGGTCCCAGCCACGCCTTGCCTGTCTCTCTGGGCGCAACCCCCCTCCCCCCCCCCCCCCCCCCCCTCCATGCTCATCGCCCACAACCTACATCCCACGTCTACATCCACTGACCATATCCCGATCTGTCCTCTCCTCCCCTTCCTCCCCCCATCCCCATCTGTATCCCCTGTGTACACACGCTCTATACGCTATGCGCACCCCATCCCCCCTTCACCTTCCCCTCTCCAACAAGTGTGTTCGACAGAGTGTTCATCCCGAGTTTACCGCACCACCAGGGACGGCCATGGCAAGCGGCGAGAGCAAGAGGACAGAGCAGAGGTAACAGCAGAAGGCAGCCATGGCGAACAGTGCCACCGGAACCTCTTTCCCCCCCTCCCCCCCCCCTCTACCACCAACCAGGGGGTAGGTGGGGGTGGGGGTGGGGGGGGGAGGGAAGCCCAGCCCGTCGTCGGCTCCCTCGGCTCCCTCGGCTCCCTCGGCTCTCTCGGGCTTAACCATCGGTCTCAAAGTCGCACGCCCCAGAGTCGAACTTCATCCGGGTCTTGGAGGGGCCGTAAGCAGCAGCGTTCTGCTTGCGCACGCCTGTCTGGCGGAGGAACGTGTTGTACAGAGTCGACGTCACGAGGTACAGCATTTGGTTGTTCTGGTGTGGAGAGTCGGGTGTCGACCTCTGCGGCTGTCGTCCTCTGTGGCAGTCACCAGTTGGTGGTGTCTGTCGCCGGTCATTCCGTACCCATCTTCGTCCGAATGCCAGTCGACGACATAGCATTATGCCAACATGCCAGTGGTTGATGGTGGTTGATGGTGGTTGATGGTGGTTGGTGGTGGTTGGTGGTGGTTGGTGGTGGTTGATGGTGGTTGGTGGCGGCAGTCGATGGTGGCAGTCGATGGTGGCAGTCGATGGTGGCAGTCGATGGTGGCAGTCGATGGTGGCAGTCGATGGTGGCAGTCGATGGTGGCAGTCGATGGTGGCAGTCGATGGTGGCAGTCGATGGTGGCAGTCGGTGGTGGCGGCCCTCCTTGCTTGTGCTCGCTGGTACCCCCCCTCTCCCCCCCTCCTCGCCAAGACAGCCAGCACTTCCACTCCACCCCACTCCACCCCAGGCCACACTATGGGCGACCCGGTCGGCGAGGTCTTTGCCCGCCTCAGGGCAGCCAAGCAGGCGGCGCGGGCTGCGACTGTCGAGGGTGGAGGCGGTGACCCCTCCTCGGCCTTTGCCGACCTGGCCCGCGTCCTCGCCTCACCGCTCCTCGACGACCTGGCCACCGTACGCAAGCGCAAGATCCACATGGCACTCGTTGCCGCACTCCAGGCCCTGGCCAAGGCCGCTGTCCTCCTCCCACCGTCGTCTCCCTCCCTCGCCTCGCTTCCGCTCATCTCGGATCTCGCCTCTGCCCGCCTCCGCCCGCTCCTCGGCGCCAAGCAGTCCAAGGAACTCGACAACATCGCCGCCGCCTTTGCCTCGGTCGCCGCTCCTGCCGGATCGACGGAGGCATCAAGCTCAACAACCGTCGCCTCCGCCCGCCCCCGTCCGCCACCAATCAGCACTGCTCGCGAGGCGGCTGCTGCCGCCGCTGCCGCCTGGTGGCGTCAAGCCGAAGAGGCAAGGCACTCGCCGCGGCTTCCGCTCGGCTGGGAGGTCGGCGCAGAGACGCCGCCATCGGCGATGGCCAAGCTCCGCCAGGCGCCTTTCAGCATCGAGTCCGGCACGCTGTACGAGGGCCTGTTCCTGGACATCCCGTTTGCCTCGCGGGTGACGCCGACCAACGTCGACGCCCTCCTTCGCGTCGTCCAGCCCTACAGCGACACGACCCGCGAGTACTGCAACGGCTCGGTCTTCTCCACTTGCATCGCACCGCCGCTCCTTGCGCCCATCGACCTTCGGCACTCGCGCGCTGGCTCGTCGGCAACTTACACCATCACCATTGCGCCGTCGACTTCGCTCAACATCCTGCGCCAGGCCAACGCCGCGCTCACCGCCCGTGGCGACGATCCGGTCTTCTCCATTGTCCTCCGCGCCTACCATCGGCGTGACGCCAAGCGCATCCACACCTGGCCGCCCGGCGCTGACATCGCCGTCGCCGTCAACGGGCACTGGCTCGAGACCGCTGCTGCTGGCGCGGCCGAGCTCGATCTTCTTCCGCACCTCCGCGCCTCCAACACCATCACCATCTCGAGCCAGCACTGCACCTGCGGCTACCTCTACACAGTCCTTGCCAAGCGGACCATTTCGCAGCGCATGCTCGCCGCTCACATCGTCCACGCCCGCCCCTGGATGGACCTCCATGCCGCTTTTGGCGCCATCATGGACATCTTTGTCTCGTCGGCCTCGTCGGGCGTGACCCAGGACTCGCTTCCGGTCGCCCTCACCTGTCCGCTCTCCTTCACCCGCATGACCACACCGGTCCGCGGCCGCGCCTGCCGCCACTTTCAGGCCTACGATCTCGAATCCTACCTCGCCATGAACGGCGTCGCCAATCAGTGGCGGTGCGCGGTGTGCAAGGTCGACCTTCCTGTCGAGAACCTTGCCGTCGATCCGCTCATGCGCCTACTCCTCGACCTCACCGCCGACCCGGCACTCGCGCCATCGCTCAACCTGCCGGCTGCTTGTGCGACCACCCCCGGCCCGGGCTCGGGCTCGGGCTCGGCCTCGGACGATGATGATGACGATGACGATGACGACGGCCTGCTTGACACTGTGTACTTCAACGCCGTCGGCATTGTCTTTGCTGACGCCGCCTGCTCTGCGCCGGTCCCTGTCATCAACGACCACCCGACGCTGGTGGCTCTGCGGAGCGGCCGGCCGACTCCCACCACTGCCCCGCCTCGACCAGTTGCATCACTTCACCCAGCCACTTCACAGCCACTCCCACCCGCCCCCGCTGCGCAGCAGCCATCCTCCTCCCACAAGCGCCCAGCCGGCACTGCTGCCGGCGAGCGCCCGACCAAGGCTGCTCGGCTCCTCTCGGCCAAGCCAATTCTCCCCGACGACGACGCCAATCTGATTGTGCTCTCGTCGGATGACGACGACGACTTTTGCTAGCCCGCCTCGTACTGGCTCCTTTACTCCTGTCGCGTCGGCTGGCAGATGAGGACAGCCGAGACGTTGACGGCATGTAGAACGTGGGTGGCGACTGAGCCGATGGTGAGCGGCACGTTCTCACCGGTCTTGCCCGAGGCGCCGAGGGTGATGATGTCGGTAGCGGCAGCGTCGACAGTGCGTGTGACCATGTCACGCGCATCACCGACGGCAACGTACGCCTTGACCGAGTCGGTGATGTCACGCGCGCGTTCCTCGTACTGCTTCAGCAGCGCCTCGGCGGCATCGAGCTTGCGCTGGTGGATGGAGAGGAGGACTTCGCGGACCTCGCTGCTGCCCTCCTCGCCCGAGTCGCCGGGCACCTCGCGCATCGGCTCGACAACCGTAAAGAGAATGACCTCGCGCCCGCGCGCAGCCACCAGCGCTGCATTGAATGCCGCATCCGCCGCAGCCGACCCATCCAGACAACAAAGGATCGAGGTGCTCTCCGCCACCTTGGGCCCCCACTCGGGATGCTCCTCACGGAGGCGTGCCACCACACCAGACTTGACTACAAGCACAGGCGCGCTCGCGTGATACACCACATACGTCGAGACAGAGCCGAGGAAGAACCGCGCGACCTTGCCGCGCCCGCGCGCGCCAACCACCAGCAGATCGCAGGCCCTTGCCTCGGCAGCCTCGACCACAGCCTCCGCCACCGCCCCAGTCGCCAGCACATCGTCCTCGATACTCTCCTCGCCCACGCCCAGCTCCACCAACGTCGCCCGCCCCTGCGCCAGTGCCATACGTGCCGCCTCTTCATCCGAATCCTTCTTGGCCACTGTCACCAGTGAAATCCGATCCGACGCCTCGTTGACTGGCACCGTCCCGATTGTCCCGACCACACCCAGCCACCGTCCATGCATAAGTCGTCCCCTCCCCCTCCCCCTCCTCCTCCCCCCCCCCCCCCCCCCTCCCCCTCCTCAATACATACACAAAGTCTTCACATAGTACACCAGTGCCTCATGGGCATGGCTGCTCCGGTCGTACGCCACAAGCACATGCCGGTACTCTCCCTCGCCAGCAGACATTCCTTCTGCCACGCTCTGCTACTGCGTACAGACAGGTGTCGATTTCTGTTAATGCCACCGCAAACCGAGCCCGTCACCGCCGCCGAGCCTGCCGCGGCTCAAGCACAAGCGATGCCTCGTACAGTGCATCCTCGGACACGTCCAAATCCTGCGCATCCACGTTCCAGACCCGGGAAATCGTGGGCACTTTGATGAACGAGTACCGATTGCTCTGCCACCGCAGTGCAGCCGTCACCGCTCCCGTCAAGTGGTACGAGCGCTGAAAGGCAACGAGGCCGTCGTCGGTCTCGCCGTCGTTGCCCTGCAGGAGGAACACCAGGTCCGAGAGGTAGACGCCGAGGAACGGAACGACAGGCGTGGCCTCGTCGAGCGAGCCTACCAGCGACCGGTACGACTTGTACGACTTGGACGCCGACATGATGGTCTTGATCGAGTTGAACGTCTCGGCGGAGCTCGAGTCGAGCTTGCTCCACAGCCGCTTGAGCCGCGCAACCGCCACCGACGAGAGCCCCCCGAGCACCTCCATCACCCCGTTGTAGTTGTGCTCCTCGATGAAGAACGAGAGGAGCTCGATGAACTTGCGCAGCCGCGCCAACCGCGCCTTGGCCGTCGGCGCATACACGATTGCCGCCTGCACAAAGAGCCCGACCTTGTTAAAGTGGTCGAAAGAGGCCTTGAGTGCTGCAGTGCCCACCCCGGCCCGGCCCTTGACCTTGCCCGAGCTCACTACAAGCTCAAACGGCTTGATCGCAGAATACAGCTTGTGCTCCACCAAGCAGAGCTGCCGCCCGAGCTCGACCACAGACACGCTGTCGACGTCCACGCTCACCGACAAGTTGCCCACCGGCGCTGGTGATCGTGGCGTGCCCAGGCTGCCCTTGCTTGGGGAGGCCTCACCGTCGTTGAGCCCCTTGAGCTGCTTCTCTACCCAGGTCCCGATCCGCGCCGCCGCCGCGTGCCGCGACGACGCCACCAGCAGCGAAAGAAAGTGCGTGAGGCGTTCCATCGCCTCAGACCGACTCGTATCTCCGCTCGCCCGGCTGGCCACGCTGCTCCTGCTGCTCGTGTTGTCCGAGTCGCTCAGGCTTCCACTGGCGCTCTCGCTCTGTGGCGTGTCCGGCACAAAGTCGCGCTCAAACGCTAGCCGCAGCCACTTCTCCACAACCAGAATGACCCGAGTCTGCTTGGGCGTCTGCTCGGACACCTCCCAGTCCTCAAAGTCAAAGTCGACCGCGGCCACCTCGCTCTGGTCCGGGAGAAAGCAAAACTCGAGGATGAGCAGATCGACAAGCTCCGCCGGCTCCATGAAGAGTCGGAACGTGGTGAGAAACGCACGCTCATACTCGCGATCTTTGTGCCGCGGCGATGTCAGGTATGCCACCAGCGCAAACTTGGCACCGGCGTCGACCACCTTCATCCCACGCGAGTCCACCGTCAGTCGGAGGAACCGCTCGTCGAGGACGCCAATCGGAAAGACCGGCGCCGGAGGATACCAGAACTTGGGGTTCGCCCGCGCCAGCTCGCGGTTCGTCACCGCCAGCGCCGCAGACAGCCGATTCTCCTTCACCGTTGCCAACCGCGACTTGGCCCGCAGATCGACCGACGTCGACGCTTGCTCGTCTGCAGCCTGCTCGATCGAGGCAATCACCTGCCGCAGCACCAGCGGCGCCTTGCTCTTGGACCGTCCTGCGAGGTTGTCAGCTGACGCTGTCAGTGCGTCTTGCTTGTGCTGCCAGTGCCGGGTCAGGTGGTAGATAATGAGTGAGATCCGCGCAATCGCCTCGGTCACCAGCCGCTCGGCATACAATGCGAGGCTTCGGTTGATGCCGGTGAGAAAGCCGAGGAAGACCAAAAGCAGAAGCAAGTGCGTTCCGGCCTTGACCCGCTCTGCCGTCGAGACGTCAAAGTACGCCCGCCCGCCACCCACACCCACAGCCTCTACGAACAGCTCCCGCAGCGGGGACACCTTCTGGCTACTCCCCGCCAGCAGCCGGCCGTCCACACTCACCACCAAGAGGCGCGGCGCGAGCGAAAAGCCCGCAGCCGCCGCCCCCGAGCCTGAGCCCGAGCCCGCAAACCTCGCCACATACGCATCTACCGCACGCGCGTACCCGGACGCCGAGCTTGCCCCGCTCACCGCAAGCGTGAGCTGCTCCAGTCCGGCCACAGCATGTGCGTCGCCCACAGCAGAGAGCGAGCCCTCCAGCGAGAGGTTGGCCCCATGGACGAGGCAGAGCACCGCCGCAATGAGGACAACCAGCGCCACAGATATCTGGATGCCGGCGCGCTCCACAAGCCGATGCGTTGCCCGCGACGCGTCCGACGACCCGGATCCGCTCTCGCTGCCCTCGCCCGTCAGCACCACAATCGCCGACGCCTCGCCGCCTGACGAGGGATCCGACAGCGCGTTGGCAATCGCTGTCAGCGTCGATGCCGTCACTGCTGCAAACAGGACTCGCAGTTTGAGCACACGCACGAGCCGAACGACCCGCAAAATCGCCGCAGCCCCACGCGCCGCCGCTCCCGCTTGTAGCTCTGGCAGCGACGTCCGCCCCACAAGCGCCAGCGCCACCACGTCCTCGCCAGCAATGAGCGACGCAACCTCGGGCACAAACGAGACCACCACCGCTACGTCGGCCGCAAACTCAAGTGACACCACATAGCTGCCGCGTAGCGCGCTCGCCCGCGCCGCCAGCTCGCCACAAAACACTAGCCCCACCACCACGGACACAATTTGGGCGCCAAGCACAATGCCCTTGCCCACGTCATCACCGCCCACCGCAGCCACTACAAGCACGTCGTCGATGACAATTGCATACAGCGCAAGAAACGCCATGATCCATATCCACAACCGGTGCTGCAGCGCCCGCCGCACAGCCAGCGTCCACCCGGACTCGGAGCTCGCCATAAGCTGCGGCGGAGGCAGCGGCGGCGGCGCAGGCGCGGACGCAGGTCCAGGCCCGAGCCCCGATTCCATTTGTGCCTTGGGCGACGGTAGGGCCGACGCCGACGCCGACCGTCCCAGCGGCGAAGTCGGCCGCGATGCGTCCGTTTTAGGCCGCACCGCGGTTGGCGGCGATGATCGGAACGCCTGCTCCGACGACGCCGCAAACGAAGCAGCAGAGAGAAGCTGCTCTTCTTCGTGTGATCCTGGTAGCACTGCCAAAGAGTCGGAGCGTCCGCGGCGAAGCCCTAAACTGCTTCCAGACCGAAACAACGGAAGCTCGAGCTTACCTTCGAGAGCCTCGATGCGATCGCGCTCCAGCGACCGCGATGGCGATCGCACCACCCGCGGCGTCGACACCGCAGACATGCTCACCCCATCGCCGCTCACCCCACACTCGTCGTCGGCATACGGTGTCGAGCCAGACGACGAGTCTGAAATCGCCCGTGGCGAGGCCGAGACCGCCAGCGCGTCACGCGCAAGTCGCGACGGCTTGCCTGACCGCCCGTCCGCCAGCTGGACCGACGACAACGAGCCAGTCCGCGACGGCATGCTTCGCTTCCGCTCGTTCTCCACCGCGGTCATTGCTGATCCGTCGTCAGACCGCATCGACAAGCTTGAAACTGTCCGCTCTACGCCGTCGTGGGTGCTCGCAAGGACCACAACTTCGGGCACTTCTGCCGCCCCGTCGCCCGAGTACTCATACACATACTCGTACGGATCGCCCGCATCGTCACTTGGAAGCGCGGCAGGCTCAGCATCGGGCGCTGTCACCCGTGCTGGCCACGGCTGCCGCCGCAGCGCACCCGAGAGAAACGCATCTGAAAGCAGCGGCGACGGCGAGCTGATCGCCACGCTCGACAGCGCGCCGCGCGTCCGCGCTCTTGCTCGCGCACCACTGGTCGCGCCCATCAGTGGCGATGCCCGCGGCTCGTCCAATGAGAGCGAGATCATAGCCAGTGACGACGTTGTCGTCGTCGTTCGTGGCTTGCGCCACTCGCCAGCCCGAGGCGGGCTCGCCGCCCGCACCGTCGCCCGCCGCGACGCAAACGAGCTGCTATCGAGCGCCGAGCCAAACGGACGGAGCGGCGGCATGGGCGACAACGGAAAGCCACCCCTGCCCCCCCTTGCACCCTGCCCACTGCTCCGCGAGCCCCCTCCACCTCTGTTCGTCACTAGCCTTCCCGAAGCCGCCGTCAGCCGCGCCGACCGTGTCTCGGCCTGGCTCGACAGCGCCCGCACCCGCGTCCGCCGCTCCCGCGCAGCCCGGGTGGCATGCGCCGATGGCGTTCGCAGCGGAGCCCGGAACCGGTCAGGCGTGTGCTGCATCCGCTCTTTGTGCCCACTCTTGTCCTTCGCTTTCGCGCCGAGTGTGGTGGCCTTTCGCGCTACTCACCACCTCCGCCCTCAACGGGCTCCAGCAGCCCGTCGCGCTCCCCTGCGCCATTGGCGCCAACCTTGGCTCTCCCTTCCGTCCCGGCAAAAGGGCATCCAAAGAGACTTTTTAGTACAATTTGTTTCACCAGGGGAGGGGCATCCTCGTTCGCCAATTTGCCCTGTCCCGCTCTGGTCGAAAACTACCCGCAACGCAGCCTGTCCCAGTGCTCCCTGTCCAGGCACGCTCCGGCAGCTCGCATTCATCTCGTTCCATCTCTTCCAGCGCTTCTTACTCTCCTCTCTCTCTCTCTCTCTCTCTCTCTTGGCGGCTCACCTGTGCTCCCAAGTCCAACACTCACCCGAGAGTCGGAACCTGCCAATCCCTTCCTCGGTTTGACTGATTCCCTTTGGGCACTTATTTCTCCCATTTCTGGCACCTTTGCTGAGACAGCCCTCCACAACCGCATAGCCCTCGATACGCAAGCCCTCCATTGACTCTACCGCAACAAGCCGCACTCTCGCTCCACCCCACTCTCCCACGTATGTCACCTGGGGCCTTGGCCTGCCTCGTCTTGGCTCTGGTGGCATGTTCCGCCCATGGCTGTGACCACGTGGTCTCCCCGGGCGGGACGGCTCTGTCACAGCTGAGCCTCTTCCTGGCGTCAACGACGGTGACCTCGGCCAGCTCGCCGATCTCCATCTGCTTCCAGGCCGGGACTTACGACCAGGAGACATGCTCCATTACCACAATATCCGTCAACTCGCCGAGCCCCAGCTTCATGTTTCGTGCCAAAACCCCGGCGACGTGGTCGTCTTCTCGTGTGGCGTCGGCCAGGACCGCTCAGGTCGCGGGCCGCTGTTCCGCATCACCTCGCAAACCCTCAACCAAGTCTTCATGGTTCGCGATCTCACCTTTGCCGCTCCGACTGCAGCCGCTACGCTCGCTTTTGACGACGCTGTCTTTGATGTCATCGTCGCCGATTCGTCCACCACCGTCCTTGTCGAGGATGTCGCCGCGGATGGCCTCAGCGCCCACTCACTCGTCACCGTCGCCTCGGCAGCCTCTGTGATGTCAGTCCAGCTAACGTGGCGGAGAGTCTCATCACAGAGAACCGGCGCCGCACCCGCACCGGTCCTGGAGCTCAACGCCCCACACTCTTCGTCATCGTTTGTGGTCGTGCTCGACGCCGTTGACATTCGCGGCGCAAGCGGCCCGGGCGCTGTTGCCGTCAGCTCGGCGTCCACCTCGTCATGCTCGCTCACCGTCACTGACTCGATCTTTGACGGCAACACAGGCTCGGCCGGTGGAGCGCTTGCTGTCACCGGTTGTGACGTTGTCGTCGCCGCTTCGACCTTTGTCAACAACTCGGCCGCCGCCGATGGCGGCGCGATCGTCCTCACCGGTGGCTCGGCTCACTCGATCTCGACCTCAGTCTTTGAAGCCAATTCGGCGTTGGGCGGCAGCGGTGGCGCTATCTACACTTCGGGTCCGCTCATCGCCACCGCTGTGTCCTTTTCTGCAAACCTCGCCACCACAACTGGAGGCGCTGTCTACGCGGCAGGGATCGGGAACCTCACCCTTTTGGCCACCAATGCATCGAACAATGCCGCCCCCAGCGGCGGCGCGTGCGTACATGGCTCAGCGACAGCCTGGATTGTCGTTTCTGGCGCTTCGTATTTGACATTCAACACTGCCACGGCCGGGCCCGGAGGAGCAGCTGCCGCTCCCCGCATCGACGTTCACGGAGGCGCCGTTCTCTCGCACAATACGGCAGCCGGTGGCTCCGGCTCCGGCGGCGCCCTTGCGTGTAGTGCCGTGTGTCATGTACTCGGCGCCTCACTCGTAAGCAACGTCGCTGCTGCGCACGGCGGCGCCGTGCATGTTGGTGATGGCGCGCGCGCCACACTGACGTCTGCCTCGTTTTCGTCCAACTTTGCAGCTGCGACCGGCGGTGCTGTCGCTGTTGCGAACCAGATCGCTGCCGCCCCCCTCGGCGCGCCCTCGCTTGCTGTCTCGGACTCATCGTTCACAAGTAATGTTGCCAACGCACCCGGATCGACCGGTGGCGCCATTGATCTTGGCCTGCTTGCCTCCGCCTCGCTTGGTCCGCTCCCGTCTACGTTTGCCAGCAACTCGGCCCACGCCGGTGGCGCGATTGCTTATCGCCATATCCTAGTAGCGACAGGTGGTGACTTTTCCGCCAACTCGGCGACGGCTACTCACGGCGGTGCCGTGCTCGGCGTCGGCACGGCGTCGTCACTGGATGCTGCTGACCTAAGCTTTGTATTCAATTCGGCTGCTGACGCTGGCGGCGCACTCTACGCTTCCGGCCCGGTCGTCCTTTCGAGCTCAACCATCTCGCACAACTCGGCCGGCATCGTCGGGGGCGGTCTTGGCTTTGGTGCCACGGCTGCTCCGACTCTGCTTGTCGACCTCTCCATCACCAGCAACGTCGCAGGCAGCGGCGACGGCGGCGGCGTGCACACCACATCCACGAATGTGACTTCAAGCCGCTGTACCGTCATCGGCAATGCAGCAGCCATGGGGAACGGCGGCGGCATGGCGGTCGGTGGCGGCGGCATGTTCAAACTCGTCGACACCACAATCGCCAACAATACCGCCGTCCACGGTGGCGCCATTTTTGCCACTGCACCTGCTGCCGGCTCGGATGTGGTCTCTAGCCTCATCACCACCAATACCGCCACCGGCACTGCGCCGACCGCCGCCATCCATTTCACCACAATGGGTTCGGTCGGCTTTGATGCCTCGGCGGTCTGTTCCAACTACGGCCTCAGCTGCCAGCCGGACGTTCTCTGCGAGGGCTCCTCCTCTACGACTGGCCTTGCAAATGGCTGTGGCGCAAGCGATGCGTGTCATCACGGGCCGGCTGCTTGCGCTCTGGCTCCGAGCTTTGAGCCGAACGCCCCGTGCTCGGGACCGTGTGCACCCGGGTGGACTGGCACGGCGTGCGATGAGCGAACATTCTGTTCATCGCCGGGAAGCGGCACGTGTGGCGTTGGTTCGGGGTCGTGCACAATGTGCTTCGAGGGCTACGCCCTGACAGATGACCTTTCATCGTGCTGGGCGTGCCCGCCGGGCCGATACGCAGTGTCGACCACCGCAGTATGCGCATCCTGTGATGCGCCATGTGCCGAATGCTCACAGACTGCCTCCAACTGCACATCGTGCAACATGGGAATGCAGCTGATCGGCAGCACGTGCGTTGTTGCGCCGTCGCCGCCGCCGTCGCCGCCGCCGCCGCCATCGCCGCCGCCGCCGCCATCGCCGCCGCCATCACCGCCACCGCCGCCATCACCACCACCGCCACCACTTCCGCCTTGTCCGCCACCAGCAGCCTACGATGACTGCTCTGTGTGCGCCGGGCCCGGAACTGGGCGGGTGCCAAATGCGGACAAGGACAGCTGCGGCGTGTGCTTTGGCGACAACTCGGACATCGACGCCTGTGGGATGTGCTTTGGTGACGACGCGTGCGTGGATGCATGCGGGGTTGCATGGGGTGACAACACGACGTGCGCCGGGTGCGACGGTGTGCCCAACTCGGGTGTTGTTAATGATGTGTGCGGCGTGTGCAATGGCGATAGCTCATCGTGCCTCGGCTGCGACGGCGTGCCTATTCCGCAAGGCGGTGCACACTTTGACGCTTGCGGGGTGTGTGGCGGCTCAGCGGTCGATACATGTTTTGCTTCGTGTGACAATTCGACGTCGACGCCAGTCGTTTTCGATTGCGCTGGCGTATGCAATGGGAGTGCGATCATCGACGAGTGTGGCGTGTGTGTCGGCGGAACAACCGGACGGCCTCCGCGGATGCACCAGGACTTTTGTGGCCAGTGTTTCCAGCGCTGCGAGGGCTGCGCGAATGCGACGCTGTCAATCGATGCGTGTGGAATTTGCGGTGGCGACCACACGAGTTGTGGCGGATGCGACGGCATGGGTTCGGTTGTCGATGCCTGCGGCGTGTGTAACGGGACTGGTGACTGTGTGGTGTCGTGCAATGCGACGCTCGGGCCGGAGTTTGTTTTCGACTGCGCGGGCGTTTGCGGCGGGACAGCGCTCGTTGATGCATGCGGCATGTGCACTGGCGGAAGTACAGGCATCACACCCAACGTGTTCCTGGATGCGTGTGGTGTGTGCTTTGGCGGCAACGCTGGGCTTGACTCGTGCGGAGTGTGTGGCGGGTTGAATGCCGACAAGGACGCGTGCCAGATCTGCTACGGCGAGAACGCCGCGCTTGACGCGTGCGGCATCTGCTTTGGCTCGGGCCGGTTTGTCGATGCGTGCGGTGTGTGCTTTGGCAACTCGTCGTCGTGCGCGGGCTGCGACATGGTGCCCAACTCGGGCCTCGAGCTCGACGCGTGCGGAGTGTGCGGCGGGCAGTCGACGTGCACATCGACAGACAGTGATGCGGCGAAGAGGCGCAAGCAGTTCTCCATCCTTGTTACGGGTGTCTCGGCAGTCTCTGCTGTCGTGCTGGCTCTCTGCCTCGCTGCGCTCTTGCGCTGTAAGAGACAGCACTCGCGCCGCAAGTACGTGGCGATGCGCAAGGCAAGCCAGGCCGCAATTGCGCCATCGGGTCGAGTCGCCATTCTTATCTCGGACGTCCAGTCGTCAACGATGCTGTGGGAGAGTTATTCAAGCGACATGATGGTGGCCATCGAAGAGCACGACCGGATTTTCCGGCAAGCACTGGACAAGTTCCGCGGGTACGTTATCCGGACCGAGGGTGACTCGTATGTGGTGGCGTTCCAGGACACCGAGGACGCGCTGAATGCTGCTGTCCAGATCCAACACGACCTGATGGATGCACTCTGGCCGCCGGCGATCCTGCACGACAAGCGGCTCCCTTCCGACGCCAGAGACAGCCCGGATGCTCTGTGGCACGGCCTGCGGGTCCGGATGGGCATTGCTGTCTGTCAGCCAACGCTTACCTTTGACGAGCGAACGCTGCGGTTTACGTATTCGGGTCAGGCCATGGCATACGCGCAGACTGTTGGTGACTCGGGTACCGGTGGGCAGGTGGTGGTCGACGCCGAGGTGGCCGCGATTGCGCCAAACCGTGTCGACCGTCTTGGCGTCTTTGCCGACGCGCTTTCGCATCGGTTCGAGTTGTTCCAGGCAAGGCTTGGGAAGCTCTCAGGCCGCAAGTACAACAAGAAGCTGCGCGGACTGACCCGGGCAGACGTTCGCTCAGAGCGGCGCTTGGACTCGGGTTCGGGCTCGCAATCGGCCTCACCATGCACTCGCTCACGGAGCCTTAGCCAGAGCGTGAGCGTCATCCAGGCACGCCGCGGCCGCCGATCCCGACGGGTGACACTCAACGACATACCACGAGAAGCACGTTCCGAATGCGACCTCCCTCTGCATCGCTCCATTGACGAGTCGTGTCTCACCTCGTCGACGACCATGTCACGGACAGGTCATGTGGCGATTTCGCAGGAGGTGGCCACCACCACGCCCTGCAACGATGGCGACGACGTGTTCGCCACGCCTACCTTGCAGAACGAGCAGTCGTTGTGTGCACTTAACCCGGCGACCCACCGCCGCGCCAAACGGCAGCGTTCGCCGTCGGCGCTAATGCGGTCGCGGCGGTTGACAATGGACGGCGAGGCAACGTTGGCACTGGCCCACATCCACAGCCTCTTGGATCCCGATGGCAGCGAGCTGGACCATTCTTCCAGTTGTGGAACGCTCTCGCCGTCCCCACGCCACGGGCGCAAGGCCAGCTTCAAGCGACGCATCGGTACAATCCGCAAGGCCCGTCTTGCCCGCCGAGTTGCTGCCGCGCCTGCGGCGCGCAAATTCGCGCCCGTGACAGGCCAGCTCAGCGAGACGGCGACCGACGCATCGCCCTTGCCGCAAACGTTGTCAATATCGACCCACGTCGGTCATCCCCCAGCCATTAGCAGTGGCTTCGAGTCAGTAACCTCGGACACAGCCGTCGTGGCGGATGCCAGCGCCATCGCAACCGACTCGTATTCAGTGGCCTCCCTCAAGTCATCCGGCCTAGCCTCGCCCAAGCTCCGTCGCAAGCGGAGGTCGTCATTTGTGATCCACTCAAGCGCAACGCCACGGTCGCGCCGGAGGGTCAGCGGCGCAAGCGAGCGGTTGAGCGAGCACCTGGCGTCACCGCGACCTCCAGGGTCCAGGCGCGCGTCGGCTCGCCCGCATGCGTCGCGCTCGGTCTCTTTCTCACGCTCGTACCAGCGCAAAATCACGCTTGACAATCTCATCTCAATGTCGCACGTGTCCACCACCGCGTCGGGCGAAGCAACGGTCGAGCTTACCCACCCCGATCCGCCGTTGTCAAGCTCGTTCTTATCACACCCAGACTCAGACTCGCCTGTTGATCCACCAGACGGCCAACCAGTCGACCAGCCAGAGTTTTAGCCATTTTGATCAACTCGAGCCAAATCCATGCGCTCATCTAGCCTAACCCGAACTCCACCCATGGCAGCAATGAAGGTCGACGGACGCGATGTCGGGTCAGTGTCGGCTGACGCCTGTTGCCGGCCACCGACTACCCGCACCCATGCTGGGTCACCCAGCACCTACAATTGTGTAACACTTGACAGAGATCCCGCGACCCACCATGGACGAGTACGTATCCTCTCCCTCCCCCCTTCCCCCCCCTCCTCTCTCCCGCTCCTATCCCCTCACCTACACGCGGCATGGTCATGCGCGCTTCATGGCGACGGCCGAATGGCTCGGGCGCGAAAGGAGGGAGCACCGGCAGGTGTGTGGCGGTAACTGACGGCAGAAGGGACCACATTGCAGACCGACGCTTCCGCTTGCGATGCAGGAGGCATTTGGCCCGGTGCAGGACGAGCTTATCGAGCGGTTGCGGAGGTACGACGAGTTTGGGAACGGGCGGGTGATGTACTCGGACTTTCTGGAGGTATGCGCCTCGCTGGGCGTTCACATCGGCGACGCGGCGCACAGCTTTCTTTCGCAAACCTTTACCCATCGTGGGTACATTGACATCAACCGGCTGGCTGAGGTGCTGGGCAAGCGCGACAAGACGATCCGGCCGCGGCATCCGTCGGGGCGGAACGAGCGGGAGATGGCCCGGCTGCACGAGCTGGTGGTGACCAAGCTGTATGCGCGACACGAGCACATCCGTGACATGTTCCTGGAGCTTGACGTCTCGCGCAACGGCACGCTCTCCTACCGCGAGTTTGCGAACGGGCTGGCGAGTCTCGGCCTGGAGCTGGACGAGGAGCAGCTGGCAGCGCTGATGCGGCAGCATGACATGCGAGGGAGCGGGCGCATCGACTACAACGAGTTTGTGCGGTTTGTGCAGGATCCGCTGACCTGGAGTCTGCCGAGCGATGTGGCGCACGACGACTCGCTGGTGGCCCGGCTGTTTGCGGTCCGCGAAGCGCTGCTCAACGAGTGTATTGCCCGCGACACTGCATTTGCGCGGACGATTCCGTTCTCGCAGCTCGTCGCCGCCATCGACTCGGTCCTGACCTCGGTCCCGCTGCCCGAATCGGAACTCGAGTTTGTGCTCTCGACCTTTGCTGATGACACCTCAGGCGACAATCCGCAGGTGGCATACCTCGACTTTGTGCGGCACGTGACGACCCGCGGACGCGAGCTGATGGACCCTGCGGTGGTCGAGCCTGAGGTGGCGCGCGCGTTCCGTGGACAGGTACCCACCGCCGCGGTGGCGCCATGCGTCCTTTCAGTCGATGTCCCGGTCCTTGACCTCCTCCGCGAGATTGTTTACGAGGCACATGGGCACGTCGCTGAAAGCTTTCTCGAGCTCGACGCGGACCGATCCGGCACGGTCTCGCTCGACGACGTTCTCACTGTCCTCGGGCGGCACTACATCCGGCCGACGCCAGCACAGATCCAGGAGATCGCCGCCACCTTTGGCGTTGGCGACGGCATCGATTACCGGCAGTTCTGCCAGTTCCTTGGCGAGGAGGACCCAGTGGCCGCCGAAGAGGCTGCACGGCACCTTGCCGTCCTCAACGACGCACCGATTGAGTCGGACGACACCCCGCAGGTCTTTGACACACCAACCATCAAGTCTGCGGTCGCCAAGCTCTATGTCAAGTCGGCCAAGCTCCTGTCTACAATTCTCGAGTACACCGCCGACGACGCGCTCCCACTCCCGACACTCCGACAGGCTCTCCATCGGCTGCACATCCGGCTGAGCCATGCCGAGTTTGAGTGGATCACCAGCAAGTTTGGCATCCTCGGCCCCGATGGCACCTCGGTCACCGCCGTCTGCGTCCACGACCTCGTCCACTTTGTTACCCAAACCGGGCGCGCCGGCCTTGCGTTTGGCGGCCATTGATGTGGCGCGTTTTTCTATCGACAAAGGCACGAGCATCTGGCTGCTAAAAGAGTTGGGAAAGAGTGGGGCGGCGCAGAGTGTTTTGTCAGTGCTTGGAGTGGTTCTACCGATGGTTGAAGAGCAGGCGGAGGCTCCGTCGATTGGCACGGGCTGCATCGGCCACCGCGCTCTTGTCGACCGGGTTGACTCGGGCATCGGCAAGGAGGAGATGTACGACGCTTTCATGACCGTTTCGCGCTGCCCAGCAGAGCGACTCGTTGTTGTTGGCAGCCGGATTGACACGGTTGTCGGCAAGGAGGAGTCCGACGACAGAGGCATGGCCGCGGCGGGAGGCCTGTCGGATGGCAAACTGACTACATGCCGCGGGATTGACGCGCGGATCGGCAAGGAGGAGGGTGACAATGGAAGCGTATCCGCGGCAAGCGGCCCATCGAAGCGCGTGATTGCACCCGGAAGACGGATCGGCGCGTTTGTCGGCGAGTAGGGCGGCAACAACCTCGGCGTGGCCGCGGGCGCATGCCATGCGGATGGCGTAGCTATCATTGGCTGCAGGATCGACGTCGTCACGAGCAAGGAGAACATATACCGTGTGAAGGACACCGCCTGCAGCGGCGGCCTGGAGGGCAATGTTGCCTGGCTCTGGCAGCAAGCTCTCGGTTAGCTCATGGATCATAGCTTCCACGGTGCTCGTCTGACCGGCAAAAGCCAGGATGTACAGGACGAGCGATGCCTGCGCCGCATCGTGCCTAGGCAGAAGCTCTCTCGTCAGCGGCATAATGCCACAGGAAGCTGCAAGCGCCGCAGGACCAATGTAGTCGGGCCGCGGCTGCGGCATCGCTGTGTAGATGTTTCCCGGCATGGCCAGAGACTTGGCCACTATGTCCATCTCGGCCAGCCGGGTAACGAGCGCGCGCCAGTCAGGCGAGTCTGGCTCTGGGCGATGAAAGATAGGGACTAACAGGGCCGGATCCACCTCACGGCGTGATGCACGCGGAAGCGTGGTGTGCCGCAGCGCAAGCTCTGCCCCTCTCCAAAGTCGATGGGCGACGCAGTTGGCGTAGCCCGTCTTGACGTGGGCAAGCGCGACCGAGTATGAGTCGACAAGGAGCGCGGTGTGGCAACGGGCGCATGTAGTGGCGAGGGCAACATGATCGGCCGCGTCCAGCAAGAATGCCGCGATGAGCTGGATGAGCTCGGTTGGAAGTTTGTTGAGCATGATGGCGAGGAGAGTGGCGTGTGCGCGTGTGCGCGTGGACGCTTGTACGCGCGCCGAGCAGCTCCTGGTTGGATCATGGGCTCGATGATCGCATGCGCCACCACCTTCATTCGCCCCACCACGCAGAACAGTAGAGCAGCAGAGCAAGCCAAAGCCTTTTCCACAGTATCCAGTCACATCCACGCACACATCGTCGCCATCCCCTTTGCGCACCCCTCCGCCCATTGCCAGCCCCCCCCCCCCCCCCCCCCTTCCCACAACCGACACAGGTGCACCCAGCCGTTCCACCCTCCAGCACCCCACCCCACACACCCGCCACGGCCATGGCCGCCGACCCGACTCAGGCCAGCTTTGGCCGTCTTGAAAACGTACGCTCTCCTCTCTCCCTCCCCTCTCCCCTCCCCTCCTCCCTTCTCTGCCACTCACTCCTCCCACAGCTCTACTCGCTCTCCAAGTTCATCGCCTTCCGGAGAACGACGCTCGCTCGCGACGACAATCCGCTGGAGCGGCGACCCATCACAGAAGCTGATCCGCTGCCCGAGGGCTGGGAGGTGCGGTATTCGGACCATGGCAAGCCGTTCTTCATCTGCCATTCGACTCGATCGACGACCTACGCCGATCCGCGCCCGCTCCCGCGCTACATCGGCATGCGCATTGTGTCAGCATCGGGCCTGCGGAAGATGGACACCTTTCGTAAGGGCGATCCATATTGCCTCGTTCGTATCTGCAGTCCGGCGACTGCTGCTGTTGATCCGGCTCGTCTCGACAAGCGTGACCGGCTGCAGGTGTTTGCAAAGACTGCGACTTGCAAGAACTCACAAACGCCCGAGTGGGACGAAACCTTCTACTTTGCCATCAACTCGCCCAACGACTTTGTTGAGATCTACATGTACGACTGGGAGCGCGGACGGACTGACCTGCTCATGGGCTACATCGCTATTCCTGCCGTCGAGGTCTACGCCCACACCATGGCGCTCGACAGTCAGTTTCCGATCTGGGCCCTCCGCCGCGAGCTGGGCCCACCGCCGGACGGCGGTGGCGTGTTCAAGGCCTCGGTTGCACCACAGGGCGCACTCTCGCTCGAGTTTGCCATGGTCGGACCGTCGTTTGCCGACGATGCCGCGGCGGCGTCTCCCGCCGATGCCGCTCGTGCTGCTGCCGCTGTAGCGGCAGCTGCCGCCCGCAAAGCCCGCCCAACCTGTGTCCTCTGCCTCGACGCGCCGGCCAACGCGCTCAACTACCCGTGCGGACACGCCTTTCTTTGCATGACTTGCGCCCGGACCTTTCGCGACGACAATGGCGAGATCTGCAACAACTGCCGCGAGCCGGCGCAGCTGACCGCCATTGTCACCGAGCTCACGTGCTCGGTCTGCTTTGTCGACTACGATGCAAGCGAGCTGCTCGGCCTTGGCGAGTGCGGCCACCTGATGTGCGTCAATTGCTCGATTGCCATCGTCCGCGTTGCCCTCGGCGACGTCAATGAGCAGTTCCCTCTGCAGTGCCCATGCATTGATGGCGAGACGCGGTGCCCGTCGGTGGTTGCCGCTGAATCGGTCCACAACCTGCTTCGCCTCTCAACTCGGGTTCTACCGCACGGCGAGGCTCTCTCCCGCGACGAGTACGACAAGTTTATTCGCTTCAACGACATCGCTGCCATCCCGCTCGCTCAGCGGACGTACTGCATTAATCCGGCGTGTGGCGGCCTCTTGGTCCTCGACAACGGCTGCGAGACCGATCCGACTACCCGGATGGAGTGTCTCTACTGCGACGCGAGCTGGTGCTACGGTTGCTCGGTTGACCATCCCGACATGACCTGCGCCGAGTGGGCTGCCGCCGCCCACGGCACTGATGACGCCACCCGCGACTACATCGAATCGACCTCCAAGCTTTGTCCCTCGCCCGGCTGCGGCATGCGCTGGGTCCACTACAGAGGCCACCGCTGCCATCATCTCAATCGTACGTTTTGCCCCGCTTCCCCTCTGCTCCCTCACCTCCGACTCCCCACACCCACTTTGCCCCTACTCACATCCACAATCTCGACATGTATGCACAGCCGGGCGCGGCTGCCCCGGTTGCGGCTGGGAGGGCTGCGTGGCGTGCCTCGGCCCATGGCCATGCCGATCGTGCTCAACATACTGCGATGCCAACTGTGACTGCCCACCATGTCCCGACTGTGTGCCGAATGTCTCTCACTGCAACCTCTGCTCCGGCGACTGGCGCTGCAACAACGCCATCCGCGAGCCAGCGGCCGCCGGTGCGAGTGCTTGACATCAGTCGATCCCAGCCGTTTCCCTGTCTCCTCCTCCTCCTCCTCCTCCCCCCCCCCCCCCCCTTTCGCGAGCGAATACACACATGCCCAGCCTTGCCGATAACCTGCTCGCGCCAAACGAGTCAAAACATTGCTAGCGCGAGCGCGAGCACTTTGCACACTCAGCGCAGGTCACACCCCACTCACCCCACCCCCACCCCCACCCCCACCCCCACCCCCACCCCACCACCTCCAGCATGGGCGAGGGATGCCAGATGATGGACGACTTTGGCAAGGAGGTCCAGCTTGCCCTCATGGCTGTGGCTTTTGCCACCCTCTTTGTCAAGTGGCGGCGGGAGGAGCACCGACGGAGCACCAAGGTATGGCACAAGGGAGGGGGAGGATGCGGGGAGAGGGGTAGAGGACGCGCGTGGCACCAGACAAGGCCCATGGGAGGGAGGGAGATGCACACGTCGACGCACAGACCCATTGTGGCAGGCACCACTCGCCATCGCACTCGTGGCACTCGTGGCACTCACTCGTCCATCCGTGGAGACACAGATCTGGCTGTTTGACACAGGCAAGCAGGGCATCACCTCGATCTCGTGGCACTTTCTCAACGTCTTTGTCGCATGGCTCTACACCTCGCACGATGCCTGCCTCGGCTACTTTATCCTCATCTTTCTCGACGCCACCCTTGGTGTTGCCCTCTGCTGGGCCTTTCTCACCGCGTTTGAGCGCTTCTTCATCGACGCACACATTGTCGGCCAATTCTCGCCGTACGAGTACCTGCGCTCCGGCAAGTACGGCCGCCCGCCGTCGGCCAAGGCCTGGGCCATGCAGCTCGGCGTCTGGCAGGTCATCGTCGTCCTTGTCAAGCTCATCATGGGCCTGCTTATGTATCCGGTGGCAGGCATTCTCGAGGCCATCGCACGCTTCTTCCTCACGCCCTTTCTCAACCACCCACACACCGAGCTCATTGTCGTCATGCTCGTTGCCCCACTCTTCCTCAACATCATCACTTTTTGGATCTCGGACAACATTCTCAAGTCCGACGCGCCACAGGAGCGTGCGACTGAGACAGAGCTCAATGTCCTGCTCAACCCTTGGGCCGCCTCTGACGATGACGACGCCGACCTTGGTCGCCCGCTCAGCTCGCTCTCGATCTCGCGAACCTCGACTGCAGTCTCGAACTCGTCTGCTAATCCGTTTGTGCTCGAACTCTCCTCGCTCGACGACGACGACTTTGCCGAGCCGGTCGTCATGGTCAACCCGTTTTCGACCGTCGACACTCGCTGAGCTCACCCCACCACCTCAACCACCTCGCCAATGGGCCCGCGGCAGACCGGACACCGCTCCAGTTGCTGCACGCACCCGCCGCACGTGTTCAGGTGCCGGCACGGGAGCACCACGCACCGAGCCGGCGCATCCATGCACACCACACACATGCACCCGGCCTGCGCAACCTCAAGCGCATGCTGCAGCTCACGCCGTGCTGCGTTTGCGCGCCGACGCGCCTCGCGCCGAAGCATGGCCAGCTCCTGCTCGCGCCCGTCGATCATCGCCTCAAGCTCATCCATGCTCAACCCGCCAACAATGTCGCTGGCCTTCTCGGTGGCGCTACCGGTGAGATTGGCCAATGCCTGGCCCTCGCGCCGTCGACTGCTCTGTAGTTCGCCCAGCTGGAGGCTGAGCTGGATCACGGTCTGCTCACGCGCGCGGAGGTCTCGCTTGACAGCCTCGTGTGCATCGCCAAGCTCGTTGTTCTGCTTCTGCAGCGCGGCGATGTTGCGGAGGCCAAGCGACGAGACCGTTTTGGCCTTGGCCAGCTCGTCGGTCAGCCGAGCCACCCGCGCCTCGAGCTCGGCCACCTGCGCCACACCTGCTGGCGAAGTCTTAGCCTCGGCTACCTCCTCGCAGAGCTGTTCTAGCTCGGCCTCGCGTGCCTCCAGCTGAGCTTCCAGCGCCGCAGCACGCTCACTGCCAACACTGCTTGCCCCGCCGTCGTCGCTGTCACGGCTCGAAATGCACCTGCGCGCGAGGACCGCCAGAACGCCATCAGGGACAATGCTGGGCGAGTCGCAGACCTCGCGGACAACAGCCGCAAGCGCTTCCGCACACACAACTGATGCTGGAGCTGGCCGGCGAAACAGTGATGCCGCCATTCGGTACGTCTGCGTCTCGTCGTCAAAGGCAACAAGTGTTGTCGGCGTCGAAAAGGCGACGAGCCTTAGCGAGCCTGACGTTGGCCACATCCGTCGCGCCGACAAGTTGCCAACACTCATGTCACTCGCGAGGCCATCAAGAACAGCGCAAAAGGCGTAGAACGCGTTGCGGGCAGCGCGGCCAAGACTTGCAATCGCAACCTCGGTGTGCGACCGTCGGCGCGCGCCGGCGAGCGCGTCCTCCAGCTTGCCGATAGCAGGGGACGAGGCGAGGAGCGATGCAAGCACCTCGTTGCACACCACCGCGCTCTTACCAAGCACCTCCTCGACTGATGCGATGTTCTTGCGGGCTGACGGCGTGGCCGCCACGGGAAACGCGTTGGCACCGTTGTTGTCAAAGAAAGCCGCCGCCACCGCGGCCAGCGCCTCATCGGTCATGTACCAGTGAACTTTGGCAATGTCGGCAGTAATCTGCGACGAGCAGAGCAAGTCGTAGAACCGTGGCACAAGCCCGGGCTCGTGTGCAATGGCCTGAACCCACAGATTGGCCATCGCATACTCGACATCAGCCCGCTTTGCTGCTGCACGCCGCTCGCGATCGAGGGCCAGCGCCGGAAAGTCGGCTCCAGTCTGTAGGCCTTCGTCGGCCATGTCCGCCACCCAAAAGCCCTTGACATACAGCTTGCCGCGGTGGCGCTCCTCAAGCAGCAGCGTCCCATCGCGAGTCGCACAGTAGCCGCTGGCATCGCTGGGCGGAGACAGGAACAGAAAGTCACCCTCAAACTCCGCCCACTCGTTGGGTGCCAGCCCTTCCAAGACAGCCACCACCCCCGATGCGCTCACTCTCCCGCGCTCGGCAATACTCTCGGGCATCGGCGGAACACCCGTGGTCTCCAGCACAGCCAGCGAGAGCACGGTGGCCGAGCCAAAGTTTTCATCGCGAACGAGCTCAAAGGCCCACGCCTCGCCGGCGCCTGTCTCCAGCCGGATCTGCTTACCCTCGCGCAGTAGGGCTATGGCACCGACTTTGAGGCCCTCACCAAACTGTCCAACCGCAGCCGCGTCGTCGACCTTGGACGACGAGCCCATCAGCAGAACTGCCCGCCCCAGACCCGCCGCCGCCTCGTTGGCGAGCACCAGCATGCAGGCATCGGCATCATACGCCACATACCCCACCAGCGATCCATTCCCATCGACAACCGCTACCGCCGTCCCACCATCGCTGCTGCGGCTCCGATGAAAGGTCACACCATGCGGCGCAAATGAGGTCGCTGCCTTTGCGGGCCTACTTCGCTCACCTGCTGTTGCTGCTCCCGCCGCCTCGGCCGCGCCACGGACGCCGTCGTACCAGTTCTGCACTAGCTCGCGTACGCCCTCGCGCGCACCCCAGTGCGGCGCATACGCCGAGTTGAGGGTGAGGTTGATCCGTTGCGGTGCCGTCGCCATAGATGCGGGAGGCGAGAGGGAGTGAGCTCTTGCGATGCCTCGAACTCGACCTCGACTTTGTTCCAATTCAACAGCGCTAATGGAAAAGCTTGCGCCGACGGGCGAGGGGGGGTACGACCACGTTTGATACTTTACAGCGCTAAAGGAAAAGCTTGCGCCGACGGGCGAGGGGGGGTACGACCACGTTTGATACTTTATGCGCAACTAGCCGCGGCCACTGGCTTGGCGGCTGCGGGCTTGGCAGGCTTGGGCGACGCCGGCTTGACGCCAGTTGGCTTGCGTGGCTTGGGTGACGCCGGCTTGGGCGTGGTCGGCTTGGGCGTGGTCGGCTTGGTAGCTGTCGGCTTGCGCGGCTGGGTGACGCCGGCTTGGGCGTGGTCGGCTTGGGCGTGGTCGGCTTGGTAGCTGTCGGCTTGCGCGGCTTGGGCGTGGTCGGCTTGGTGCCAGTCGGCTTGCGCGGCGGCTTGGCGACTGCATTCCGACCGGGCACGATGGGCTGGACCTCGCCAAGCGAGTTGTCACTGCCCGAGACGTCGACTGCTGGTGGCGGGAGCTTCTTGGCGGTTGGCCGACGGGTGGCAAAGGCTGCGCCCGAATCCTCGCCAGGCGAGCTAGCGGCGGCGGCACCCTGCGAGAGCGGCGGCGGTGGGCCAGAGCCGCGTCGCCCGCCGCCCACCCGCGCCGGCTTGGTCCTCCCGGCAGGCTTGGGTGGTGCCGAGTCGGCCGCGAGCATGTCCGGCGGCGGTGGCGGGAGAGCATCGTCTTCGATGAGGGCAAGCAAATCTTCGTAGTTATCGTTGGCACCTGCCGGCGGCGCAGGTGGGAGCGAGGTGACCGACATGACGCGGACGTTTTCGCTGGTCGGTGGCGGCGGCGAGGAGCCGGCCGCCGACCCCGACGCCTCACACTCGCTCGGGCTAGCTGTCTCACCACGGAGGATAGTGATGCAACGGGTGGCGTTGAGCGCCTCGGCGAGCTGCAGTACGGTCTGGCCCTCAGCGTTGGGTGTCTTGATGTCGGCGTTGTTGTCCATCAGAATCTCCAGCACGTCCGAGCGTTCGGCGAGGACGGCGTCGTGGGCGGGCGTGCCGCCCGACTTGGGCGAGACCGAGTTGATGTCGGCGTTATTGAGCACGAGCGCGGTGACAACTACCCGCGGCGCCTGGGTCTCGAGCGCATACGCGACCGAGCCGATGGCGCCCGGCTTGTCGGGCGGGAGCCAGTCGACGGCGGCGCCGGCGGCGAGTGCAGCGAGGATGCCCATGTGCGAGCCTGCGGCGATGGACGCACGCAGCGCTGCGCCGAGCTTATCCGGGTCAGTCTCGGTGCCCTTGGCCAACAACCGCTTCTCTACGTACTTGTACTTGATGTACTGGTTACGCATGCCGGCAAGCGACGGGTCTGACGGCTTGTAGCGGATGACCCGCGACGGCCAGGCCTCGAGGATCGAGTTGGCAGCCTCGTTACCGATCGCCTGCATGTACTCTTCCACATACGGCACCAGGTCGTCTAGCTTGAGCGACCGAACCTTGGAAATCGACGTGCCGAGCGAGCGGTGCAAGCCCGAGCACTCGATGCAGACCAAAATGCCGAGGTTGATCGAGCACCAGTCTGGCTTGGTGTTGAAGCAGTCGGCGCAGACTGAGTTGCCCGGCAGCTTCCAGATGTTAGCTATGAGCTGGTTGATCTGTGACTTCGTCTTGGAATGGACCCGTTTGAGCGTGCCAGTCTTCCCGACCGACGTGACGTTGCGGAGCTGTGACGCTGTCGCGTCCCGAATCGCGGCCACCCACGCCGTCACCTCAGCTTGCGTCTCGCCCTGGAACAAATACCGCTTATCTGGCGCAATCATCTCAAAGGTGAGATCGGACGCGTTCTTGACGTTGACCACCTGAACGTCGAGCTCAAAGACCGGCACCGGGTCGTGGACGGTCTTGTAGATTGCAAGCTTGCCGGCCTCTAACACCGCAAAGTGCCGGATCCACGACTTGAGCACCGACGTCGACTGCAGTTTGAGGTAGCCCATGCGGACGCCCTCTTCCTCGAGTGTCATCACCACTTCGTCGGCCGGCGCCGTCGAGAGCCGCGCCAGTCGTGCCGCCTTGTCAAGCGTCGCCGACGTGGTCTTGCGCATGCCGGCGCTCACCGTTTCGAGGCAAAAGCAGGGCACAAAGCCGGTGACGCCGCCGACCCGCGCATACCACCACTCGGGATGGGTGGCGTCGTAGACGGCAATCACGTCGCCGGTCGACACGTTGAGCTCCGTCTCTGACGTTGCCATCCATGACTCGACGGCTACCGCAGAGTCAATGATCACGGCAGCCTTGGCGGGGTCGAGAAGCTTGTCCGGCGCCGCAAGCGTCAGCCGCCCGCCCGACTGCGCCGTCACCTCGGGCGTCGCCGGACGCTTGGCCGACTCGTGCAGGACCGGCGCCACGCCAAGGTCAAGGTCGAGCTTGCCTGCGAGCTTGCGCGCGGCAATGCCGGCAAGTCCGGCGCCGTGCGCCAGGTCTGCCACCGCCAGCGGCGCCTCTGCCACCAGCTCGCCAAGGTGTGCCACCACAATCGATGACTTGGCCAAGTTGGCCAACGCAATGACGGCTGAGACTCGCGCCGAGGCCTGATACGTCGTCGAGCCCTCGACGTTCCAGCACGCGACTCGGAAGAGCGGCTCGACCGCAGCGCTGTGTTGCAGCGTCCGCGCTCCATTCTCGACAATTGAGACCTCACCAGCCAGCCGCGCCGCTTGAGCTACCACCCGCTCGACCGGCGACGAGAGCGAGTGCACCACCGCGGCAACGGTCTCTGGCGCAGCAACCAGGAGCTCAATGTTGGGATTGGAAGAGAGGCACACATTGCAGAGGACACGTAGAATTGCCTCCTGCAGCCGAGCGTGAATCCGGTTCGGCTCGGCAGGCAGCCAGTTGTTCGCCACCGCAAACATCGAGTCCATTCCACCGAGCTCACGAAACTCGGACTGGATGAGCGTCGAGCCGCCCTCGGTCACGTTCGCAATCGCTGCCGCCACGTTGGTCAGCACCTTGACGTCCTGGTTGAGGGTGAGCGCGGCAACAAGCGACGGCAGGCAGCCGCCGTTGAGGATGACCTCCTTGCCGTAGAGCGAGGCCGAAAAGGCACGGATGCAGTCCATGGCAACCGCGAGCATCGACGGTGTCGCGTTCGACTCGAGCGCGCTGAGAAGCGGTGAGAGAAAGAGTGACTCGGTCATGAGGACCCTGTTATGCGACGAGCTTGCCAAGCCCGAGAGCGCCCGCAGCGCAGCCTCGATGACCCACGGCGATGGGGAGGAGAGGTGGGTGACAAGAGTGGGAATGGCGCCGAGGTTCGGAATGGCCGCCCGGATCGAGTCGTTCGACGAGACGAGCGAGAGCGTGAGGCAGCCGTAGTAGAGCGCCACATGCGACGATGCCGTCCGCAGAACTTCCACAAGGGGCTTCAGTGCATTGTCCTTGAGAAAAGCCGCACGAAGAAAGGCGTCTTCGGCGAGATGGGCCATGGCCTTGATGGCGGCGTCAATCATGAACTCGTCACCGGCCCGCTCGAGCAGAATGACCAACGGGATGATCGGCGACTCGCCGAGGATCGCCGGTGCAGGCTCGTCGGGCCCAGGGCCCATGGATGGTGCAAGGAGGTGGACAAGCGTCCACGCAATGTTGCCTACTGTCGCCTTGGACGTACCCTCCCGTGACATGAGGCCGCCAAGAAACTCACACACGCCATTGTTGCTGTCAAGGAGATAGGCGTGGGTAAATTGAAAGCGCGAGGCGTGGCGCAGCGCTTTCGCTCCCAACTCAAACACAGCGCCCTCGGCGTTGAGCGTGTTGATGAGCGCAGGCAGGAAGTTGGCGCCATCCTTGGTCGATAGCGCCGAGTAGTGCTCGTCGAGCATGTCGTCCTTGCAGAGGGTGATGACCGAGAGGAAAGCCTCAAGCGCAAGCTCCTTGACAATGAGAGGGCCCCAGGCAATGTTGCAGAACACAAACGGGAGGCCAAAGTTGGAGACGGCACGGTCACCGTTGATGGCGCGGAGGAGGAGGTTCGACCACTCGGTCCGGTCGGCTGTCTCTTTGGCAAAGATGTGGTAGACCCGCGATCGGGTCGAGTGCGAAATGTCAAAGTAGTACTTGTTCTTCTTGGAGATGTCTTGCCGCGATTCGACAATGCACCCGTCGAGTGGGACAATGCCGGTTGGCTCCTCGTCGGCCTCAGTCTTGTAGTAGTAGAGGAACATGTCCTTAAGGAGGAAGATGCGGTTGTTCCACCGCGTGAATCGCGACGAGCCGAGCTTGCACAGCGTGCCGACTTTGTCGCAGTTTCCTGAAAACAAGTACCGGTACGAGAGGCGTGGCGTGGGAACGGTGAGATCAATGGTCGCTGGTGCCGAGAGGACCGGCATGCCCGAGCCCGAGGCGTCGCCGGCGGCGCCCGACTCGCCGGCGCCCTTGCGGCGGAACCGCGACTTGACGACCCTGCCGGCTTCGGCGCGGCGCGCCACTAGCGACGGATCCTTTGCCACCAGCTCGTCAATCTGTGCATTGATGTCGGCCATCCAGGAGGCCTTGGCCGACTCCGAGTCGGCACACACCGTGTACGTCTTCTTGGTCGACACAATCTGGAAGGCATGCGGGAGCGAGACCTCCTCACCGGCAAGGTCCTTGATCCACGTGGTGTTGAGCGGAATGAGGCCCTTGAAGAGAAACATTGACGAGTTTTGCTTGGCGGCGTAGACGAGAATGTCGTTGAACAAAAAGTACATGCGCTTCTCGCGGTTCTTGGTCAGGTAGCCTTCGCGCACAAACCGGCGCGCAGGCTCGACAAGAATGGGACAATCCTTGGAGAGCATCTGCTGGATTTCGACGATTCGGTTCATCGAGTCGGCCACCGCCATTGACGAGTTGACCGTCCGCGCAATCTCCGAGATGAGCGTCAGCGCCTCGGCAAGGTTCGTCGCATCCGGATGGTCGTCGGGCGTGTACTTGATAATGTCAGAGAGGAGCATGATGTACCGCGGGATGCGCTGGATCGGCATGATGAGCGCATCGGCTAGGTGCAAGTTGAGCGAGTCGGGATGGAGGTGCCCAGACTCGAGAAAGGCGGTAAACTGCTTCGACTGCGAGCACTGCGCCACAGCCTTGAGCGAGTTGTCGTAGTTTTTGCAGTACTGCGTGTAGAGCTTGAGAAACGGGGCCATCCGCTTGAGTGCATCACCGAGACATGTCGTCATCGGGTCCCACTCGGCCATTCGCTCCCGAAGCGAGTCGGCGAGCGTCTCGTTGGTCCGCGCGATGAGCTCGACGTTGGAGAAAATGGCGTCGAGCGACTCGGCCCGGGCAATCGGGTTGGGCGACGTCTGCGCATTGAACCGCAGCGGCTTGACATACACTTCGATGAGCGCATTGAGCGACGAGACGTACGTCACTTCGGTCTCCAGTAGCTCGTGCGCAATCTTGGTCCGCCGCTTGAGCGTCTTGGCTACCGCCATGAACTTTTTGCCGCGAGCCTCGACCGCCACCACTTTTGGATACAGGCCGCTGCCTGGGCTTGCGGATCGTCCGACCCACTGGAACCGCCACTGTCACCCATCCCATGCGTACGGGTGTATCATTGTCTCGCTGTGAGCTATCCTCGTTCGCAGCCCTCGTTCGTGGCCCTCGTCCTCTTTGCCCTTGCCCGCCGAGCCACCCTGACACCCTTGCGAATGTGGCAAGCCACTTCGGCCGAACGGGGAGAGGGGGTACAGGCAGGCGCGCGCCGGAGGTGGGGAGGAAAGGGGAAGGGAGGGAGAGAGAGAGAGTACGTACGTCCTGCGGGGCTTCTTGGGAGGGCCGGGCATGGAGGGGGGGGAAGGGGGGAGAGAGAGAGCGGTGCAGAGGTTGTCTATCTTCTCCTCCCGGCGGCGGGGTTGGGGGTGGGGTGGTGGAGGGGGGGGGGAGGGGGGGGGGGGGGGGGCACTCGCAGGAGCCGGGGCGAATAGCGGCGAGCGGGTGCTGAAAAAAAGCGTGCCATGCCGGGCAGCGGCGTGCGATTTTTGGCGGTGTCGATGCTGAGCTAGAGTTTAGCCACGCGCGCGAGTGCGGCTGAGATATGGACGGCAAGTGCGCGACGGGTGGCAGTATCCGCGATGACAATGAACACGGTGGCGAGTGCGGGATCGGGCGTGAGACCGATGGCTACACAATTAGTTGCTGAGATGGATGCGGCCAGAAGCCAGTTCCTCACGACAAGTCCCTCGCCAGGTTGGGCGCCGATGACGTGGACAAAGAGAGCAACATGGCGTGGAGAGCTGCTGATCACATCCAGCGGCGGGTCAACAGCAATGCGGCGACAAAGGTCGCTGCCAAGCTCAGCGGCGTCAAGCTGCAGAGGCGATATGCCAGCGTCAAGGTGCGGGCAGGCAGGCAGGTTCGGCACGGGCGAAGCAAGCCAGGCAGCCCAGTCAGCGACTGGATGCGCCGATGGGCCTTGGGTAGCAGCAATGAGCTCCGAGAGCGAGATCGGAAGATGTGGAAAGACAACGGAGTGTACCGGAGGGTGCGAGACGGTGGGTAGCCTTGCGAATGGGATGGTGCCGCGAAAGGCACCAACGGACGCACCCCACGCACGCGTCGGGCCGGTGTGGCTCTTTGGGGCCCCGCTGTAGACGGTGACGCGTTGCGACGCATGTCGGGCAAACCATGCAAGCGCTGCAAGCGGCGTATTTGGCAGTACAAGAGAGAGCGAGAGATGCGATGACGGAATCGCCGCCAAGAAGCTGTGAAGGGCATCGGCAAAGGCGCAGTCCGGATCTTTGCCGGATGGTGCGAGCCAGACCGGGATCGCCGGCGCAGGCAGCGCGCAGAGAGCAAGCCACTCGCCATCGCCGACGACCACAATGACAGCAACCGCCTCCAGCCAGTGGACGAGCGCCTCACGCCACAGCAAAAGTCCATCGTCGAGAAAGCATGCATCAAACTCGGGCGCGAGACCAAGGACAGGCCACATGCCCAGCGGGCCAGGAAGACGGGAGAGGTCTCCGCCTGCTGTGGCCACAAGGAGGGCATCAAGAGCTGAGACATGGACGACCGGTAGTGTGACTGGTACTTGATCAGAGAGGTCGATTTGGGCGAGGGCGGCGCACGCGGCAGCGTTCGCGGCGGCGACGCGAAATGGCATGCCTTTGCTCTCGGCAGGCGAGTAGTCGACGTCGAGGAGCGCCGCCAGAACTGGAGCAGCGGGCGTAAGTGTCGGCGGCAGTGGATGGATGTCAGCAAGCTGTGCAGCGAAAGCGCGAGCAGCGTCGTCAGGATCCGCCGCCAGCGCGGCAGCCGTCCGCACAACGCGGGCAACAGAGGTCAAGCTCGGGTGCGGCTCGCCCGACTCGCCGCAAAGAGTACGATACGCATCAAGAACGCCGGCTTGCCAGCCGAGAGGGAGAGCCGAGGGAGGCAGCTGGCATGTGCTCACACCACTAGCGAGTGCCGCATAGACCGAGATGTGACTGGATGCAAAAAGAGGCGTGAGTGGCGTGGCAAGGACTGCAGCGGCGTGGACAGCCGCGGTGTCAACATCGCCCGACTGCAGTGCGTCACGGACCGAGTCGGCAGCAAGGCAGGCCGCAAACTCTGAGGTTGGATCGACGACTGCAAGGCCGTGCGCAAGCATGGCGCGGGCCGCGTCAAAGCGCGAGGCTTCACGATAGACGGTGGCGAGGGCGGAAAAGGTGCCGCAGCCTCCGGCAGCAAGCGCGTCGAGGGCGGGATCAGTCGCAAGCGCCGCATGCAGCAGATGCTCTGCTTCAGTCAGCCGGCTGGCAAGCACAAGGCAGACAGCGGTGTCATGGAGGGCATCGGCCTTCTGGAGATCGGTCTTTGCCAAAGCTACGGCGGGCCGCGCGGTGTAGATCGCCAGCATCAGCGAGGCCAGGCCGGTGGCTCCGGTTTTGTTCGAGCAATCGGGCGTGTTGAAGGCGCAGAGAAACATGCTGGAGAGACGGCCCAGGATGTCAAGAGCCGTGGAAGGCGGGGGCTGGTCTAGCGATGAGAGCACAGCAGCAGCTTCAAAGCGGTGAAAGATTGACGCTGACGTGTCTCCCATCCGCTGGTGCACAGTGGCCATGTTGGTGTGAATGATAGCGATACGGGTGATGCGCTGTGGCTTGAATTTGTCATCGATAGACACTTGGTGCTGCGTGATATCAAGCGACCGAAGATAGAGCGCGAGTGCGGTAGGAGCGTCATCGCTCTCAAAGGTCAAAGCAAAGTTGTTGAGTAGCGAAACGTAGTCGCAGCCCAACTCGAGTGCGCCGTCACTCGTGCCCTTCTTGCCTTTGCTCACTCCAGCGCATGGCGCTTGGGCATCGAGAAAGGCACAACTCGGATCGAGCTTGGCAAGGATGGCGCGGAGGAGCTTGGCGGCAGCCTGTCGACGGCTCAGTCCAAAGAGTGCTGACGCGAGTGCAAGTGCGATCGGAAGCATGTCCGCAGCCGAGCAGCCGAGCGAGCTCTCCCCGAGAGCGATGGCCATGCGGGCGACCTTGGCCGCACGCCGGAGCAGAGCGCCGCGGACCGCCATCGCAGCATCGACACGATCGCCCCGGCCGGGCTCGTCCGCTATCTTGCGCCCGGCATCGAGCCTGCAGTTGCGGAAGACATCGAGCGGCGAGCGGCGAAGCCAGCTGATGATGGGAGGGAGCCGCTTGCGGGCATCGCTGTATGCAGCGAGGGCAGCGGTTCGATTCCGGTAAGCCTTGCTCGCTTTCACCGTCGTCGACACAAGACGGAACGGGGCAAGCAGAGCCGACTTGAGCGATGACGACGATGCTGACGGTGTAGCCGAGGAGTCAGCCGGGAGTGGCAACGACGCAGGTGGAGTCACGCGTGCCAGGTTGTCGGCAATCTGGGCGAGGGCGTGGTAAACCGAGACCGGGGTGGTCTTGGCGGAAGACCGAGGACTAGCAGCCATGACAGTGTGCCGAGCAGTCCAACCACTCGTAACTTGGCGGCAATGATTGTATGGCGTGGTGTGCCTGATGTGTGTCAGGCCAACCAATGGGGCGCCGAGAGCCGCGTGCCGAAGACGACAAAGACCAACCGATGAACAGAGGCACAGGCGGGGATAGGTTTGATCCAAAGGCAGAGACCAGCCGATGAACAGAGGCACAGGCGGGGATGGGTTTGATCCAAAGACAGAGACCAGCCGATGAACAGAGGCACAGGCGGGGATGGGTTTGATCCAAAGACAGAGACCAGCCGATGAACAGAGGCACAGGCGGGGATAGGTTTGATCCAAAGGCAGAGACCAGCCGATGAACAGAGGCACAGGCGGGGATGGGTTTGATCCAAAGACAGAGACCAGCCGATGAACAGAGGCACAGGCGGGGATGGGTTTGATCCAAAGACAGAGACCAGCCGATGAACAGAGGCACAGGCGGGGATGGGTTTGATCCAAAGACAGAGACCAGCCGATGAACAGAGGCACAGGCGGGGATGGGTTTGATCCAAAGGCAGAGACCAGCCGATGAACAGAGGCACAGGCGGGGATGGGTTTGGCGCTACTGGTTCCCACACCCACACCCACACCCACACCCACACCCACACCCACGACACCACACCACCACACACCACACACCACACACATCTCCCACTTTATCTCTTCGTCTCTCTCCCACTCTTCCACGACAAGCTCGAATCTATACTATGTTTGCTCAACGGCTTGGGGCTGCCTGGCGGTGCGGCGCAGCTCGCGGCGGTGCGTGGCTGGCGACGCGGGGATACCCGTCGACGGCGACAGTGACGGCGACAGGCACCTCAGTAGGTGGGATGGGCGCGGCAATGGCAGGTGTGGCGCGTGGGCTGGCAAGCGGAGCAAAGCCGTCGGCCGGCCGGGCACAGTTCAAGGGCGTGTTCCAGCAGCTGCGGACCGAGTTGGTGGACGAGCTCGGGGCGAGCTACGAAGTGCCGACTGAGCTGCAAGAGTATCTCGACTACATGGCGCAGTACAACGTGCCGGGCGGCAAGCTCAATCGCGGCATGGCGGTGGTGGATACGGTTGCTGGTGTCAAGGGTGCGCCACTGGAGCGCGCCGAGTACTTTAAGGCTGCGGCGCTCGGGTGGTGCGTCGAGTTTATGCAGGCCTTTCTCCTTGTGGCCGACGACATCATGGACAACTCGCTCACCCGGCGGGGTGTCCCGTGCTGGTACCAAAGTCCGCATATTGGAATGGATGCCGTCAACGACGCGCTCATTCTCGAGTCATTCATCTACATCATCCTCAAGAAGCACTTTCGCAACTCGCCGCACTACGTGTCGCTCATGGAGACCTTTCACGACGTGACGTACCGGACGGAGCTCGGACAGCTGCTCGATCTCAAGACCGCGCCGGCCGATGACGTGGACCTCTCGCGGTTTACTATGGCCAAGTACAACCAGATCGTCAAGTACAAGACCGGGTACTACTCGTTCTTCCTTCCGGTCTCGCTGGGCATGACCCTTGCCAACGTGAACGAGCCGCAGGCCTTTGCCGACGCCGAGCGCATCCTGCTCGACATGGGCCGGTACTTCCAGATCCAGGACGACGTGCTCGACTGCTTTGGGGATCCTGCGGTGTCGGGCAAGATCGGGACCGACATCCAGGACAACAAGTGCACGTGGCTGGTGGTGACCGCACTCGAACGGGCGTCGCCGGACCAGCGCCGGGCGCTGGAGAACAACTACGGCCGCTCGGACGCGTTCTTCGTCGAGGCCGTCAAGTCCATCTACCGCGACCTGGAGCTCGAGGCCGAGTTCCGGGCCTACGAGGCTGCAGCGGTTGCCGAGCTCGAGGCCGACATCTCAGGTTTTGACCACTTTGACGCCCGCGTCTTCTCCGACCTCCTCGCCAAGATTGCCAACCGCACAAAGTAAACGGCAACCAGTCACCGAAGCCACGACCGCGCCACCAGCGGATCGACCGTAATGACGTCAGCCTGCGAGGCTGCAGAGAGCGAAGCCGCCGCCGCCCGCGAGACCTCGCCCGTGCCAGGAATGTCGATGGCTGCCGTCTCAACAAGCCCCGATCGATGTCCGCCAAGCATCACGTCCGAGTTGAGCGGCGAAGGGGGGTCATCGCTTGGGCGCAGCGCTTGCGTCTCGCGCCGGACACGGAGCGCCGGTGGTGCAAGAAGCTTGGCCAGCTCCTCCTTGTCCGCGTCGGAGAGCGCCGCCAGCTTGGCGTGCCGCCATCCGGCTCCCGCCGCCGCCGCCGCCGCACCGCCCGCAACCAGAGCCGCCGCCACAGTAGCAGCAAGCCCCGCCGGACCAGATCCCCATACCGTCTCTTGCTGATCAGCATACTCAGCTGGGTGCGCGACCCACGGCAGCACAATCGCCACCATTACCCCGAGACTCAGCACACCCATGACAGCCGAGTATGCCCAGAGCATGTTGGCCGACGGCACGTCGGCATATCCCGCGGCGAGGCCGACAAGCGCGGTGAGGACCAGCGCCCCGCATACGCCGGCAATGACAAAGAGGAACCCGTCGAGTGTGTCGAACGCGCCGGAGCCCTCGGCGGCTGTGTACTGCTTGCTGTGGCCAGTCGCGTTGGCAACCACATACGGCGAGGTTAACAGCGCCGCCAGAACCCCGCACCCAGCCGCAACCACAGATGTCGCCCGTGCCAACCGCCGCACTCCCCGCCGTCGTCTCGCTAGTCCTGCCCGTCGCATGGCGCGTCAGAAGAGTGCCCGCGACCGCAAAGGTTGGACACCGGTGGCTGGCTCACTCGCCGGACGATTGCTTCGCCCACATCACGAACAAGTTGGCCTAGGCGAGAGTAAGGCGCATTTTGAGTGGGAATTGATTTTGCACTGGCACCGCAAGAGCTGCCGCGGCCTTGGTGGCCAACGAGAAACGACTGCGAGCCAGACGCAAGCACGTCAAATGCTTGATGTGGTCTGCACAAGCTGGGAGGATGCGGGAGGGTAGAGAGCGAAGCAAAAAACAAAAAAAAATGGAGCCCACAGCGAGGATCGAACTCGCGATCTCTCCGTTCGAAGCGGAGCGCCCTAACCACTGGGCCATGCGGGCAAACACATATGTCCACGTATGGGAGAATTACAAAATTCGCGCTTGGCTTTGAATAACACTGTGCATTCCCGGGAAAAGGACGTCTGCCGACTATACGCCCAACCTGCAGCACTTGGACAGCCCAGATAGGACCACTTGGCTACATGCGTGCGAGCACGGCAAGCGCTCTTGCTCTTGCTCTCGGGCTTGCATGGCTGGTGGCGGCGTGCCGGGCGGCCGACGGTGACGGCCGCGCTGCGCTCGACGACGCCATGTGGGCGGCGGTGAGCTCAGCGGCGGTGGCGACCGAAAGCGGCGGCGAGAGGCAGCCGGTGTACGAGGCCGAGCTGGCGCTTGCAGCGGCCGAGGCTAGCGCCGAAGCACGGATCAAGCAGGCGCAGGCAAGCGGGCTCTCGGACCGGGCGGCAGGCAAGCTCCAAGCGCTGCTACAGGCCTCGGACCCCAGCGGTCCCTCCCAGCCGGGGGTGTCAGACCTCGCCTTGCTCGAGGCCTTCTACGCCAAGCACGCCGAGGTCTTTGTCGGCGAAAGCGGTGGAGGTGCCGGCGATGATGGAGACGGCGCTCGCGTTCGCATCTTGCGCAAGTTCCACGACAAGCTTCCCCTCCCGCAGGTGCCCGGATCATCGGCACAGGGCCCAAGCAGCGGCTCTGGGGCCGAGGCCGGGTGGAGAAGCAGCGGGCCAGACGCCGATGAGTTTGTTATTCTTCCGCCCGCAACGTCGCGGGCCGAGCTCGACGACCAGGTTTACCTGGCGGCGCTCCACAACCATGTCAGGGATGTGCGCGAGCTGATCGAGCTCGGGGGCGATGTGGATGCAACTCCTGACGAGCGATCGGGCTCGGCGCTGTATGCTGCAGCGTTCCACGGCCATCTCGACGTGGTCCGCACCCTCATCGAGCTTGGTGCCGACGTTTCGGCTGCACTTGGCGACGGAACAACGCCACTGTACGCAGCAGCTCAGCGCGGACACCTGGCTGTGTGCGAGGCGCTCCTACAGGCCGGTGCCGTCCCCGACGCCGGACGGCGGGATGGATGGCGGCCGCTGCAGATTGCCGCCGAGCAGGGCCACACTGCAGTGGCGCGTGCGCTTGTGGCGGCTGGCGCCGACGTCAATGGTGGAAACGCCAAGGGTGTGACACCGCTCATCACGGCCACCGCGCACGCACACGTCCCGATGATGGCGCTCCTTCTCGACGCCGGCGCAGACCCGAACCGGGCAACACTCAACGGGTGGGGAGCCCTCGATGTACTCGAGTCGGCGAAGGGCGAGCTCGATGCACCGCAGCTCGAAGCCAAGGCCCTGCTGGAAGCGCATGGCGCTCTGCGGGCCTCGTCGTGGGTGGCACTCTGGCGGTATGGGTACGTGGCGGTAGGCATGGTGGCTGCCCTAGGCGTGTGGTTGCTAGGACCTTCGGACGCCCCGGTGACGAAGTCTTCGAACAAGCGGCCGAGTGAGCGAGCTGGCAACAGCGACGGCGCCAGTCGCCGCTCTGGCGGCGGCAAACGGAAGGGTGGGCGGCCGCGGAAGCGCGGCCGAAAGTAACACGGCAGTGCAACGGGTGCGTAGCGTGAGCTGGTCGTTTGTTCTTTTTACCCGGCCCGGCCATCGGGCAGCTCGTGCTTGAGGTAGGTGGCACGGTCCTTGTTGCGGAGGTGTGTGCCAAGGCGAGCGGCGCGCTTGCCCTCCTGTTCCCAGATGATGGCGTCGACACCGAGCGCAGAGCGAACGCGCTCGACCGAGTCCTCCATGTGTGCCATGGTCTTTGCCATGGTGGCGAGCTGGTGCTTGACGGTGACGACAAAGGTGGACATGTCCGAGTGAGCCAGATCCTCGAGGGCGGTCTGGACGAACTCGTCGTCCTCACCGAGCGCCTTGTGGCGGAGCAGCTCTGCGTCGCGGCGCCAGTCCTCGAGCTTGTGGATGAGCTGGATCTGCTCCTCTGCGGAAATCTGGCCCGAGCCGTCGACGTCAAAGTAGGCAAGCAGCTCTGCGGCGGTCATGCCGAGGACAGACTGGATGGAGGCCTCGTGGTCGCGGAAAATGGTGGTCATCTCGTCGAGGGTCAGCAGCTCGTCTTGCTGGAGGTCCTTGGCATGGACGAGGTCGTCGACCTCGTCGCCGTGTGGCCGAGCGTCAAAGACAGCGGCCTTGGAGCGGATCCAGTCGCGGGTCATGGAGATGACTGAGATGTTGGGCTCGCCCTCGTGGGCCTCCTGCACGTTGATGTACGCGTCGTTGAGAATGGTGAGGAAGAGCGAGAGCATGATGAAAAAGACGAGGACCATAAAGGCCACAAAGTAGATGGGCCCGAAGAACCGGTTCGAGTACTGCATCGACTCAAAGTCAAAGTCGCCAAGCATGATGCGGAGGACAGTGAAGAAGGTGTCGGTAAAGGTGCGGAAGTCAAAGACGTCGACGCCAAAGGCGAGGACGCCAGCCTGGGCAAAGCCAAAGAGCACAAAGGCAAAAATGACGATAAAGCCAACAGTGTTGCGGAACGAGACCGCCACGGTCTCGACAATCATGGCCATGGCCGGGATAAACGTGGTGTACTTGAAAATCTTGAACCAGAGGAGGAAGGCGTTGGTGGCGAGAATATTGAGTTCGGACGAGTTGAGCGTGTTGAGGACATTGAAGTTGTAGAACGCTCGGTTGTTGCTGGCATCGAGGTTGAGCTCGTCGAGCTTGGCAATGATGATGGCGCGAAGGATAAAGGCTGCGAGGAAGAGGGCGTTGTTGATCCAGTCGAGGTAGTTCCACGGGTCGCGGAAATACTTGCAAATCCCGGCCGTGTACAACTGGTGCAGTTCGGAGCAGACGTAGAACAAGACAAAGAGGAGGAGAATGATCTCGCCAGCGAGCTGCAGTCGGCCAGCGTGCGAGTCGGGATACTTGTACAGCCGGAGAGTCCGCATGGTCGACGCCGGCAGCACGCCGCCGGACGGCAGGAACTCAAAGGTCATCTGGGCGTTGAAGAACAGATTGACGTTGGCGTTGTAGGTGGTAAAGTCGATAAAGACGGCGCGGGTCTGCAGGTCGGCAAAGGCGTCGTCACGGAGCGAGGCCATGTGTGCCTCATGAGTCGCCAACGGATCCGCCGGCGAGAACTCCTCCACAAAGCCGCCGCCCTCGTACCACTGAAGCCGGGCGAGGACCCGGGCAGCGTTCTTGAGCTCGGTGGCGGGGCGGTAGACAAACTTGTTGTCGGGACCAAACGACTTTTTCGAGACCCGGTCCGAGGTGTACCGTCCGAGACACTGGTCCTTGGAGAAGACCTGGTTGAACGGGATCTCCAGCGCGGCGCACGAGGCCGGTCGGATGCGGACTTGACGGACACGGACGGTGCCGACGAGCAGGTTCTGGCCGTAGATAAAGCCCGGACCAAAGCCGCCCTGGTCGGCGAAAAGAGCAGGAACGAGAACGTCGTTCATGTACTCCCAGAACTCCTCAAAGGTGGCCACGTCGTAGAAGGTCTTGTAGATCTCAGGCTCTGGGAACTCCTCGTCCAGAAACAGATCCTTCATGCTCTGGTTGTACTGGAACGAGTAGATGGGGTCGCGGACGCCGAGCATGACAAAGGTGAACAGCAGAAGAAATGCCAGGTAAGTGATGAACTCGAGGACTTGCGACCGGAACTCCCGCTTCAGCCGCTTCATCAGCAGCTGCTTCTCCAAGTCGCCATGCAGCGAGTCGGCCAAGTTGTGCAGTCGGGACTCGGCCTCGGCCTCCTCCAGCGACGAGAACTCGACCGAGGTCTCCCACTCGGACAACTCGGACGGGGGCGCCTTTTTACCCATGGCTTGGGGTGGGGTGGTGGGGAAGAGGGTGGGGGTGGGGGTGGGGGGTGAGGGGTGGCGGAGGGGGGAGGGGGGGGAGGAGGGGAGGAGTGGTGGCGGTGGTAGTGGAGGTGATCGGGCGGGGTCGGAAAGTGGCCTTTTCTTGTTGGTTTCCTGTTGGCGGCGGAGGCGGGAGGGGGAGGGGGGGGGGGAGGGGAGAGAGAGGAGGGGAGGGGAAGGCCACCTACCACTTGACCTGCTGTGGGACTTGGCGTGTGTTCGTGTGTGTCTAGTGCGGCGGAACCCAGCTGCTCCTCAGACTCATGAGCGAGCACGGGGATGCCATGGCTGTGGGCGAGGATGCAGGTGCCGCAAGGGTGCTGGTGATCACGGTCGGCCCGCCGTGTGCGGGGAAGAGCACCGTACTGGCCAAGCGCGAGCCAGCTCCTCTCGATGTGTGCATTGACGACAGCCCGGGGCTTTATGCGCGTATTCCGTGGGCAGATCTGCCGGCGACGAGCCAGGCGGCAATTGTGCGGGCGGCGGCGCTTCTGGAAGGCGGCAGCAACGACCGAGACGACGACGAGGAGGACGCACTAGCGGCACGGCTGGAGGCCACCGTGGCTATCCGCGACGATTCAGAGCGACGGGCGTGTGCACGGGCGCTGGCGCGTGCGATTGGGTATGTCAGACGCAAGTATCCGCGGCTGGCGGAGCAGGAGGCGCGGCTAGCGAGTGAAGCCCAGGTGTTGCAGACGCGGCTTATGCGCAAGGCTGTAGCGTGGGCGCAGACCGCGCTGGGCGAGGCGATGGCCGCCGGTGTGCCGCTCGTGGCGTGGGGCAATACCAACACCAAGATGCCAGCCATTGCACATGCGGTGGCGCTGGCGGACGAGCACGGCTATGCCATCGAGGTAGTCAACATGACCGACGTCGACTTTGACGAGCTTGTCAAGCGGTCGGTCCTCCGCATGCTCAAGACTGGCAAGGTGGTGCCTGTCGAGGCTATTTACAAGTCTGCAGTCGCAGCGCAGCGTTCGCTGGTCGAGACTGGGCTTGTTTTCGACGCTGCCGCGCTCGCCGAGGCGGCGCGGGCTAGTGTCGCGGGGAGTTCTCGCTCTGGAGCTCGGCGATAATGTCGCCGAGGTCCTCGATGAGGACGTTGAAATCGGCAGAGAAACGGAAGGTTCGGATGCGGCGGGACGGCACTTCAAGCATGTGCCTCGCGCTCGCGGGCACTGGCGCCACCTCAAAGGTGCTGGTCGGGCCGTTGTTCGGCTCGGAATCGCTGCACGCCTCGGGTGCGGAGCTGTCGCTGCTGGTCTCGCCATCAACCAGAGTTGTAGACCCGTTGCTGCTGCCGTCGCCTTTCGACCCATCGCTGCTGATATTGTCATCGACTTTGGTTGTGGACCCGTCGCTGCTGCCATCACCTTCGAACGACCCGTGGCTGCTGGCGCCGCCATCAACCAGAGTTGTAGACCCGTTGCTGCTGCCGTCGCCTTCGGCCGCCCCGTCACTGCTGGCGCCGCCATCGGACGCCCCGTCACTGCTGGCGCCGCCATCAACCAGAGTTGTAGACCCGTTGCTGCTGCCGTCGCCTTTCGACCCATCGCTGCTGATATTGTCATCGACTTTGGTTGTGGACCCGTCGCTGCTGCCATCACCTTCGAACGACCCGTGGCTGCTGGCGCCGCCATCAACCAGTGATGTAGACCCGCTCTCGTCCACAACGTCAACAAACTCTCCTGCCCCAGGACCATCACTGCTGCATGCTCCAATCACCTCGGTGGCAGTCGCAGCCGAGCCGGACGAGCTACCCTCGTCGCCGCCGCAGTCGCTGACAGACGAGCGACAGACACATGTCTCGCTCCCGCTTCCACTGCCAAAGTAAAGCCCATCTCCTGATGACGACGCTGAGAGTGCAATGATCTCGGTCGAGCCCGAGCCCGACGACAGCTCGTCATCCGAGTCATCTGACATGCCGCCAGAGTACGACTCGGACGCGTACTCGTACTCGGACGACGAGTCTTCACGCGGTGGAAGACCATGGTACTCGCGGAGGAGCGCGAAGACGTCGTCCAGCTCAAGCTCGGACTCGCGTCGTGGCCGGTGGGCGTCGAAAAAGGCCTCCGGCTGCCGCAGCCGCGTGTTGAGCGCCACCGTCGAGTGGACCGGCAGCGATGCGAGCGTCGGCGCCCGCCCAGCGCGGGTCACCAGCTGCTCCAGAAAGTCGACCGCCCGGCGGGCGCGGATTGGCGCCGCACGCCTCGCTGCCATGATGTTGCGCCGTGCCTTGGCCGCTTGGCGCGCCGCGTACGGCTGGCCGAATGGCCCTAGCTCCACAGCCTTGCTCAGCGCTTCTGACCATTCCTCAAGCAGCTCGAGCGAGGCCAGTGCAAAGTGGTATGTCGGCAGGCCCGGATGCTCCAGCCGGAGCACATGCGCCTCACCAACCTTGGCCGTCTTCTCTGACGCCGTCTCGGTCGCCAGCGCGTAGCCAGGCAACGGAATAGAGGTCTCAGGCGAGATCGCGCTCGAGTTGGTAAACACAAACAGCCGATACTTGTACAGCACGAGGTAGTGCGGTCGGAACCGGGCTCGCGCGCCGACGGCAAACGACGACGTCGCCCGCGACCACCACCCCGCCGGCGACATCATGTGTGCAACCTTGGAGAACCAATAGACCGAGACCGGTCGATGGAGCATCGCCGAGGCAAGCCACGCCGACGGCAGCGCCCGCGGCAGAATCGGCTTGGCGCCAATCGCCAGCTCCAGCACCGTCAGCCAGTTGAGAAAGTCGACGCCGCTCTCGCCACGCAGATACTCGAGATGCGAGTTGTCGCGGAGAACAACGACCGTATACGGCGACGCCACCCGGTTTCCGGCACGGTACACCGCCATGCTCATCGCCGACCAGCCAAACAGCGGCTTGCGGTGCGTGTCCGAGGCAAAGCCGAGAAGCACGCCATCAGCAAGAACAAGGAAGACTTTGCGGAACATAAGCGCGCCGCCCGGCCCGCGTGCCCGCTGCCCGTGCTCCATCCAGCCCGAGAAGGCACACGCCCGCTCGCGCGCCCGCAACTCGCCGTCCTCGTTGTCCTCGAGCACCATCGCTGCGGACGCCGAAATCCCGCGCCCGCTAGGCCGGCCGCGCGCCTTGACCCGATCCGCCAGCAAGAGTGGGACCTGCGGGCGTGACCGCCGCCGCGCTCCGTCCACCAGCGCCTGCAGCCGGTTCTGCGGCAGCGAGAGGGCGACCGGCGAGCCCGGCACTGCGCCCACCGCCGTCACCTTGCGCAGCCGCTTGCGAACTGCGCTCAGCTCGGCGCTCACACTCTCCAGCTCGCGCCGCAGCCGCTCATTCTCCGCCTCCAGCGCCGCAATCCGCGCCACGTCTTCCGCCCACCGCCCTGGCGGGCCAGGCGCCGCCCGACCTGGGCGCTGCGGCCGACTCCCGCCTGGCTTCTCCGTCGCCTCGCCAACAGGCGCGCCCGCTGCCGCTGCAACGCTCACTGCCTCGAGACCGCCTGCTGACGCCACAGACTCGGCCACAGAGCGCCGTACGAGTGTAAACCGCGGCCGGCGCTGAGCCAGTACCAGCGGGGTGTGGGGCATGGGGCCGGACGCGACAAGTGTGCGCCGCCAAGAGCCCGAGGTCGCTTGCCTGCAGGTGCAGCGCGAGTCTCCCGGAATCCGCGCCAAAGCCCAGCTCGCTCTCGCTGGCTGACAGGGTAATGGTTTACTGGAGGAGCATGGCGCGCATTTCAGCGTCGGAGAGGCCGGCGTCGCGCATGCGGCGCGAGTCGCCGACAATGACCGGCTTGTTGAAGATGCCACGGCCGAGGTAGTCAGCGACGACGGCAAAGCCGTCAGGCGCAGCCTCGAGCTTGCCGAAGAACAGGTCGTGGTCGTGGGCCTTGGCCTCGAGCGAGGCTTTGTACTGGCGGACGTGGCGGTTGTCCTTGGCACAGATCGGGCACTCGTCCTCCGAGTCGAGAAGGCATCGCTGGTGGAGCGAGTGCATGCAGAGAAAGTGGACCGCCGGCAGATCAAGCGCCGACGAGCAGCGCGAGCACTTGGAGAGCTGGAAAATCTTGGCCGACGTCTGCAGCTCCTCGATCTCCGACCGCATCCTGAGTGTCTCCTCGCGCAGCGACTTGATGGTCGCCGTGTCGTCGTCGATCATCGCGTTCTGCGCCGAGAGCCGGCCCTGGATAAAGTCCTTGACACACTCGAGTGTGGCCACATCCGACGTGGCGAGCGTCTGCACCACCAGCAGCGGCGGAAGGAGGTTCGACGAGTCGACCGCGTCCAGGACCGAAATGATGTGCGGGCCGGCGTCTGCCCGCGTGGCAAAGTACGAAAGGACCTTGATCCACAGGTTTGGCGACTTTTCACCGTGCATCCGGCACACCGAGAGAATGGCCTCATAGTTGTTCTCTTCCATGTAAAACTGCACAATCTCCTCAAACAGCCGCAGCTTCTCGAGCAGGAGAAGCGTCCCGGGCCGAAAGTCGTACATCTTGCAAAGAATGAGCGCCTGCTCCACCGAGTACTGCGAGTTGGGGTTCCGCAGCAGCTCCATCGCCTGCGACGCCTTGTGCTCGCGCACCGCCGCAATCTGCGCCTCGGTCAAGTCGCGGAGCACGTCAGACTTGGCGTCGTCGGTCAGGTACAGCTCGAGCAGCGTGTTGTACACCGTGGGCGACGACGAGACACGCTCGGACACGAGGTACTCGAGAAAGACTGTGAGCCAGTACGATGAGTTGACAAAGATGTGGACAAAGTCTTCGGCGTCGGCCCGTCGGATGGTCGGCGCCGCCGACGACTTGCGGTGCGAGACCGAGACGCCGGTCCGGGTGCCGGGCGCCACGTCGGCCGTGCCGAGCAGCGCGGCCCGGTCGTCGAGGACCGGTGCGCCACCGCTCGACGGCGGCGGAAGTCCATCGCCCGACGGCCCAGCCATGACGTCATGGAGTGGCTCGGTGCTCTCGCCGCCGTCAGCGCCGCGCTTCTTGCGGCGGCGGCGGCGCGACGGTGAGCCATCGTCGTCGTCGTCGTCGAGCCGCGACGAGAGTCCACCGGCCGGTGCCTTGGGCGTGTAGTCGGTGCAGAGCGCCATGAGAACCTGGGTGGTGAGCTCCGGGAGCCGCTCGACAAGCGTCTTGCCATACTTGATCATGTTGGCCTTGGCCTCGTCAAACGAGAGCGTCTGGATGTACTCGAGGGCCTGGACGTACCCGTCGTTGTTGCCGGTCGAGAGGTCCTCGAGCTGGATCTTGAGGAACGCGTCGTGCTCGTTGAAGCGGCGGGCGAGAAAGAGCGCGTGCATCGAGTACCCGGCCTGGCGGCAGACCTTGATGGCGGTGGGGACGTCAAAGGCCACCTCGTGGGCCGGCTGCTTGACAAACTCGTCGAGCTTGGACTCGTCCTTGAGCTTGGTGTAGCAGTTGAGGAGGAGCGTGGTGTGGTCCTCGTTGGCCAGCCGCTTCTCGTGGAGCGCCTGTAGATACGTGGTCAGGTTGTGGATCCGCTGCTCGTCGAGGTACTTGCGGATGACGTACGACGGCTCGAGCGAGCCGATGGTGTGCAGGTACTGGGCCATGGCCCGTGTGTAGTCGCGCTTCGAGTACAGGTGGTCACCGTATCGCCGGTAGATCTCCGCAAGGTTCGCAGCGTTCATACCCTGTGCCTGCGCCAGGTCAATTGCCCTCGGATAGAGGTGGTTCTTGAACAGCAAGTCGAGCTTGGTCTGGGTATCACGCTCGAGGAGCTGGTGAACCTCGCCGTCGGCGGTAAAGACAAGGAGCATGCCCCATTCGGAGAGCACGTGGGTGACCGGCGACTTGAACTTGGCGTTGTACGCCACCAGCTGGTTCTTGAGATCGTAGATGTACAGCCAGTCGAGGGTCTTGGAGCCACGCACAACCTGGTACACCACGCCAAGAAAAGTGCGGAACCAGAAGAGCATCTTCTTCTCACCATCAACGTCAAAGGCAAAGCACGGGCCGCGGCCCTCGGCCTCGTAGAAAAAGCACGCCTCGGGCCGCCCCAGCACAATCGAGCCGTCCGACGTCATCACCGTGTTGCCGAGCCCCACGCCCTGGTAGTCGAGCGTGTCGGCATGGTCGCCGTGCCCGGTGTAGAAGGCTGTCACAAGCGATGTCGTCACCACAAACAGCAACGGGGCACCCGAAAACATCCGCCAGCCCAGCCCGGTCACCGGCGCAGGCACTTCGGCCGGCGGAGTGAGGAAGACCAGCTTGGGCGACCGGTCGCGCGAGACGTCGTTGCCACGCACCACCAGGACCCGGCCGTCGGCGAGCCCGAGCGCAATCTGCGACAAGTTTTCAAGCACCGCAAGCGTGGTTACCTGCAGTGGTGCCGCTGCCAGTGCCGACGATGCCCGCGACGACGGCGCACGGATGGGCCAGCTTTTGAGTTCGGTGGGCGAGCCGTGCCGGTCGAGCTTGACAAACGACCAGATCTTGAGCACGGCCTCGCCGAGATCCGAGTCGACGCCGACGGTGACGAGCAGATCAGCCGACTTGAGCTGGTGGATGTGTGTGATCGACTTGTTGTACAGCTGATACACATCGATGACAAAGGCGCGATCCACGACCCGCACAATGCCACCGGTACCTCCAACCAGGAGCTTGCCTCTGCCGGAACTGGCACAGGCCACGTCGCGGACGACGTCTTCCAGCCCACGGTGCGGAGCCGCCGGCTCGTCCTCGTCGCGCACCACCTGTTCATTGAAGAACTGGAACTTTCGCCACTGTGTGCGTGTGTGGGGTAGGGGGGGGGGGGGGGGGGGGGAGTGAGTGGTGGACAAGGCGGGAAGGGGGAAGGGGGGAGGAGGGGGAGGGAGAGGGGCGGGAGGCACTTACCTGGAACATGGTGTGTGCGGGGGGGTGGGAGGGTGTACGGGTGTGTGGCAGAAATAGTAGGGGGTGGGGTGGGGTGGGGTGGGGTGGGGTGGGGTAGGGTAGGGTGTGGTGGGGTGAGACGAGTGGTTCGTCTTGGTCTTGGTCTTGGTATTGGTGTCTGTCGCTGTCGCTGTTGTGGGCGACGGTGGCGGTCGCCATTCGCCGGTGTGTGACATGCGCCGTTTCCTCGGCTGGCGACTGGCTGACATGGTTTACTCCTCGGTTGACGGCGCAGCCGGCTTGGGGGGGAACGCCTCAAAGTACTCGCGGAGATCGCAGGCCTCAACCGAGCCAGCGTCGCAGGTGGAGTTGAGGACGGCGAGCATGGCGGCCGGTGCACCGGCCTTGGAGTGGGCCATGGCGAGGTTGATGCAGGGCGCGTCCCAAGCTCCGCCGCCGACCTCGTCCTTGCTGCTCACAGCGAGCTGGCACATATCGTCGAGGAGGGCAATGGCACGGTCGAGGTCGCGGGCGACACCATCGCCCGAGGCGAGTGAGACTGCAAGGGCGGTGCATGCGTCGGGCAGGCCGTCGTCGCAGGCAGCAGCCATGAGATCGGCGGCCCTGGCGGCGTCGCGGGAATGGACAACGGCACCTGTGGCGGCATCAACCTCGTCAGGGTCGTCGTGTGCCAGCGCGAGGTTGAAGCACGCGCGGGTGAGGCCACCATCGCAAGCTGTGGCGTAAACGGCCATGGCCCGGGCGCGGTCGACCGGGCCGCCGACGCCGTGCAGCGCCATGGTGCCCTCGTTGAAGCACGATCCGGAGTGGCCCAAGCTGCATCCGCGGGCACAGAGCCTGCGGGCCTCGACTTGGTTCTGGGGAATGCCATCGCCATCAAAGTACATGCCGGCGAGGTCGTAGCACGCCTCGCCCACACCACGGTGGCACGCGTTGTTCAGCGCCTTGGCTGCCATCACTGTCGCCTCTGCTGCCGTCACCACCAACGCAACCGTGCCGAGCGCGGCCCGTTCACGTGGATCCGTGGGCAATCGCTCCGCCGCGGTCGATCCGCCACCTCCAGCTGCCCCTGCCGCCTCTGCCGCCTCGAGCCGCAGCGCCTCGGCCACCTCGAGCCAGGCCTGAGCCACACCGTAGCAGGCCTCGTCGTCGCCGTGTGCGCACAACGGGACAAGGCGGTCGACCTCTGCCCGAGCCATCTCCAGCGGAGTGCTTGGTCCGTTGCCCATTCGTGTAATGTGGGAGGAGAGGAAGAGGGGGGGATAGAGAGATAGAGAGAGAGAGAGAGAGCAGGGAGGGGGGAAGGGGAGGGGGGAAGGGGAGGGGAGGGGAGGGAGGTGGGAGGAATTGGTGACGGTGACGCGCAGCCAGGGCATGGCATGCCACGCCACGATCATCACATACACACACACACACACACACACACACACACACACACACACACACACACACATACACACACACACACACACGTACGG